GCAAGGTCGTGAGTTTGATTCCTGGTACCCAAAAAAACAAAACAAAACAAAAAACAACAAAAAAAGAGAGATGTGAATACTAATTACTTTGATTTGATCATAACACATTGTACATATCTATCACTCTGTACTCCATAAATATACAGTACTATTATATGTTAATTTTTTTAAAAGGAAAGAGGCAGTGATCCCAAAAGGCTGGACCCATGTATTAAGCCTTGGAATAAAAAAAACCCAGTGATTTTCATGTTGCAGTGGCTCTTAGTACCCTTGGGGCATAAGGCTGGGTCCAAAAGACCTGTCCCTCACTTTTCTACTGTAAATTTGTACTTCAGCATTATAGTAGCCAGCTGTGCATCTCAAAACCTTTCCTTGAGGGATACAGGAAGCAATCTGTGCTTACCTACTTGGTATGATGAACAGCAAGAAGTGTGCAAAAGTGGTAAAATGGGATTTGGATCCACTTTTATGCTCCAGCCAGCTGCTTTTGCATATGTTTACCAGAGCATCACAGAGGGCCCAGTAGACCCACACTACTCCAGGGTTTGTTTAAAAAAAAGTTTTCTTTTGATTTTTCCAGTAGAAGTAGCCCAATTCAGTACAATGGCACATGAAAAACTAGATTTGGAGGAGGTCAAAAGTGAATCATCAGATTGCTCATGCATAGATGATGAAGATGATCCATTATGGTAAAATATATGCTTTCATTACAGAACAGAACAGACCCTGATGGCTGAATTGTAGGACAGAACAGAACAGAATAGTGGTGTGGGTGGATGATTGATGATGATGATGATAATGATGATGATTACTTTGATGTTGGCCATGTGGGCCAAAGTCTCTGTGACAGTAAAATGGAGCAAGAATCGACTGATACAGACATAGGGAATGCAGACCTCCTTGATTCAGATGATGAAGAAAATAGTAATGTGAGTACATATTTGACTAGTAGAAATGCTGTGAAATGGCCACACAACCAAATGGAATAATCCAGGGTTAGAACTAGGTCTGAAAATATAGTGAAGCTCTTGGCAGGGATGAAAGGTATTGGACAGACTGCCAGCACTGCCAATTAATGTTGAAAATTGTGGCTAACAAAATGCTACAAGAGGGGCTGGGGATTTAGCTCAATGGCACAGTGCTTGCCTGGCAAGCGCAAGGTTGTGAGTTTGATTCCCGGTACCAGAAAAAAACAAAAACAAAAACAAAAGCAAAAAAACCCAAAATGTTACAAGATGCTGTGAAATATGCAAAGGCTGAAATGCAAGTAAAATGTTCTGTATGTGCCAATAGCTATGTTAAAAATGTATTTATTATGACACTTCATTAGCTGAACTGAAAGCATTCATAGGTCTGCTGCATGGATTTCTTATGGTGATTGCGGGAATGTAAAAGACTTATAGAAAAGTGATGGGTCAAAATATGGCATAAGAATTTATGCCCTTGTAGATGTGAAGACTTCTTATGCTTTCATTTTTTGTTTCCTTTTGTTTTGTTTGGTCTTTTAGGGACAAGGTCTCACTGTGCAGTTCAGGCTGGCCTTGAGCTCACTTTGTAGCCCAGGCTGGTCTCAAACTCGCAATGATGCTCCTGCCTCAGCCTCCCAAGGGCTGGGATTACAGGTGTGTGCCACCACTACACTTTCAGTTTAGACATTTGTCCTACAACTCAGCCATCAGGTTCTTATTCATACAGTAATAAACTGAATGGTGTTGTGAACAGACTTGTTGATGCCATTTCCAAAACAAATAGGAATGTGACATTTGACAGTTGGTTTACTGGTTTCCAATAGATGTTACATTTGTTAATGGAGCACAAATTGACCAGCAGGAACTGTACATAGGAATAAGGCAGAAATTCCGATGAAATGTTGTGATTTCAAAACAGAAGATTGTGTAGTACAATGTTTGGATTTCAGAAAGTTATAGCATTGGCCTCATATAAGGCAAAGAAAAACAAATTGATACTGCTGATGTCAGCATTTCACCATGTTGGAAATATCGATAGGGAAACCTCAACAAAACGGAAGCCTAAGATGAAAACTTTCAACAACAAAACCAAAAGCGGAATAGATGTTTTGATGAGTTATGCAGCAACTACGATGTCACCTGAAACACAAAACACTGGGCAATAGCTGTGTTTTACTTGAGCCTAAATATGCATGGCATAAATAGTTTGATAGTTTACAGAGAAAATAACAAGCGCAAAATATCACAGAGAAATTTTCTTAGAGGATTGGGACTGGAGCTCATAAAAGATCATTGACAGCAGAGGAAAAACCAAAACGTTTCTGCCCAGGGAACTACGCAAAAAAAAAAATTGTGGAGCACACTGGTGAGCTGACAGGTGAACAGGCAGGCACAGCATCCCAAAGACCTACTACAACAACAGGAAAACCAGAAAGATGTCAACTGTGCCATACAAGAAAGTACAGGATGACAAACATATGTGCTATCAATGTAAGCAGTATTTGTGTATGGAACATGAATTTGGGTGTGATACTTGAAGCAAAGCTTATTTCTTTGGTAGACTTTCGTTTGTGTTTACATTGTAGCTCACATAACCTTTTATTTTAATTTTTTTGAGTTACTGGGAATTGAACGCATGACCTCACACTTGTCAGGCAGGTGCTGTAGCTATATCTCTGGCCCTCATAGCTTTTTATTTTTTATTTTTTTGGTACCGGGAATTGAACTCAGGACCTTGTGCTTGCCAGGCAGGCTCTTATGCCACTGAGCTATATCCCTGGCCCAGCTTTTTATTTTTGATGTTTTCTTTTAGGTTTTGTAAGTAAGTCAACAGCTAATGTGAAAATGGTGATGCCTATTCTAAGCACTCATTACATATTTGAGATTTTATTTTCTTGACATCTTGTTTCCCTGCGAAGTGCACGTTGTACAGTATAGTAGGAAGCTCCAAACAAAACAGGAAGAGAAGAGAGATGACAAGACTGCCACATAGGAAAGGAAAATGAAGCACACATGCTGTCAGTGTAAGTGAGACGTGTACATGTAACATGCAGTTGTCATGTCACACCAAGACTGCCCTGGGTGTAATAGTTGAAGCAAAGCTTATTTTTACGGTAGAGTTCTATTGGTGTTTTCATTGCAGTTCATGTAAGAATTTATTTCTGATGTTATATTTTAGGTTTTGTAGTCAAGTACACAGAAGATGTGAAAATATTGATGTCTATTCTAATCGCACAATACATATTAAGAATTTAACAATTTATTTTGATAGTTTTTGTCCCTGTAAACTACACTGTATAATATAATAAGAACCTCCTGACAAAACAGCAAGGCCACTGAAATGTCAAGTATGTCCCATAAAAAGGCCAGGAAAGCAAAACACATGTGCTGTCAGTGTAAGTGATGGGTATGTACAGAATGTGCTGCTGTCATGTGTGCAGACTGCCTTAGGTGTGATAATTGAAGCTGACTTTTTTTTTGTTGAGCGCTATTGGTATTTTCATTGTAGTTCATATGGGAATTTATTTCTGATGTTCTTTCTTAGACTTTGCACAACAAAAACCAGTCGATGTTGAAAATTGTGCTTTTTTATAAACAATAGATATTAAAAACTTAATAATTTATTTTTGTGATATTTTCCCTTTAAGTACTCATTGTTTAATTATAGAACGCGTAAAATTAATAATTCATCGATGAAAATATTCTAAAGAATAAACGTGAGTGTGATAACCCATGCTTATGCACTTGATGATGAAATGCTCCAAGGGCTACAATACAGTAGTTAAACCAACCCATTAATCCAGAAGCCCAAGTTGGGGAGAAGGAGGAGAAGGCCTGGGGTGATTCCAGGAGCTCAGAAGGCTCAGCAGCCAACCAAGTTAGCTCCAGGCTAGGGCCTCAGGAGTTTGTGCACGCTCTATTGTATGGTTATGTTGTACGGATCTTTGTATCATGGGTCAAATCCCAAATACCGACTGTAACCGTTCTGCATTATAACAACATGGAGTCACCCAGAGCAGCAGACACTGGTGGTGCCCACCACATCCTTTTCTGGTTCTGTGAGTCCATCTCCAGCTCCTGTGGCTTTGTTCCTCATAGCTACAGCTACTGGTGCCCCTGACCCAGAGTGCCAAAGGCCCCAGAGCCAGGGACGACTGGGGGAGGGACACAGACTCAGTCTCCATATGGAACAGCTCTCAGGGGCCATTTGCACTCCAGAACTCTCCAAGGTGTCACCTGAAATCACACCCTTCTTTAGCTTCTCCCCTTTCTTTGTCTTGCGCCCCTAATTACTATCTGCTTTCTTCTGGAAGCACTTTTTTTGTTTTTTTTGGTCTTTTTAAGATAGGGTCTCGCTATGCAGTTCAGGCTGGCCTTGAGCTCACTTTGTAGCCCAGGCTGGTCTTGAACTTGCAAGGATCCTCCTGCCTCAGCCTCCTGAGTGCTGGGATTACAGGTGGGCACCACCACATCTGACAATGAAGAAGTTAATTATTTTTTTTTTCAGTACCAGGAATCAAAGTCAGGCCCTTGTGCTTGCCAGGTAGGCGCTGTGCCACTGAGCTATATCCTTGGCCCTTGGAAGCACTTTCTTTTTTTTTTTTTTTTTTTTTTTGAGACAGGGTCTCGCTATGCAGTTCAGGCTGGCCTTGAGCTCACTTTGTAGCCCAGGCTGGTCTCGAACTCTCAACGATCCTCCTGCCTCAGCCTCCCCAGTGCTGGGATTACAGGCGTGTGCCAACACGCCCGGCCACTTTCTAAAATACATCACTGCAGAGCTTATCTCAGGCTCGGCTTCTGGAAAACCCCACTCTGAAAGGATAGTCACTTTATTGTGGCTATCAGTCTGGATCTTGGGTGGTGGCCCTGTAACACACAGCCACGGAGTATGTAGGGGATTCCAGATTCTTTGCTGTGAACCTTGACCTTGTGCCCAGAACAGAACAGTTTCAGGCCCAAGAAAGGGCCCATATGTGGTCTGCCCTGAGGCCCTATCTAGGAAGCCACAAAGAACATCACACCACAGCCATGTGACTTCCCCTTGGACCGTTTATTCGATTGCTTTTTAGTCAGGCTCTTCCCCAAACACCTTTCGATCTCCATCACGGCCTCTTTTCCAGAAGTCGGAAACTGCCCAGCTCTTGCCATCTTCGTGGTTCCCCCTGCCCGCTTGCAAAGAGTATTTAAAAATCAAGACCGAAACAGGAACTTGGCTGGGTTTTGCAACCCAGAAGCATGGTCTAGGCTGACATTTATAGACAGGGTCGGGGAAGAGCAGGGAGTCCACGGGGTCCGTCCACCCTGAGGGTGGTCACACGGGGGTACTGAGAGCAAGGGGAGGGGGCGCTGTCTGAGTCCTGGGGCTCCAGCAACCTCAAAAATGACCAACTCATGACGGGGAGCGCATCAGGAATATTGGCAAAGGCACACTGGCTCCGTGTGGGAGGTGCTCACTTCCCCCTAACATAGACTAGAGATAAAAATAAAAGAAGTCCACAAACCCACAGTAAGCAAACAAACGCACACACAAGACACGCTGTAAGGCAGGAACCACTGTCCCCAGAGAGGAGAACAGCTTCTGAGGCTCTGGGGGTCTGGTCTGACAGGCGGTCCTGGCCCACCTGGATGGGAAGTGTACCTGTTTCATTGTGACAGTGACTCGCAGGAAGATTTGTGCCCTGAGCATTTCCTGAAACTAGAGAGCTGGTGTCTCTGAATCTGGCCTCACTATCAGGGCAAAGGCTGGCCATCTCCACATGATTTGCATGTAGGGGCTGCCCGGTTCCAGGCCTGCTTTGCTACTGACCACTGCGCTCAGACCCAACACATCCTGTCGCTCAGTAATCATGCTGCAAACGTTTCATGGATGGGGAATGAAATAATCCAGAATGAAATCCTGTTCCCCCAAGAATACACTGGTTTCACTGGTTATGCAACGCTTCTTTTTGAGCCTGCAAAGTGTAATTACAATTCACTTATTCTCTTGGCCCTAAAGGAACTTTCTTTTTTTCTTTAGTGGAAGCTAACTCTTTTCAGGAGGAGCCAGGGGATGCATGTGGCTATGTCCAAAGGAGAGGGTCACTGGCAAACGGACTAGTGAATTTTAACAGGATGATCATTACCTCTTTGGGGCTGGAAGTGGCCGCTGGGGCTGGGGAAGCTCCGAATCTGGCTGGTGGTGAAGAAGCCCTTGTTTAGCTGCCTGGAGAGATGGGATCAAGAACCGGAAGGGAGGCCACTGGGGTGTTGGAGGAGGGAGGTCAGGGGCTGCGGGAGAATCGAGGACCAGGCAAGAGGAGATGGATAGAGTGGACGGGCAGCTCTGCAGCTGAACTCAGGCACACGGGTCCTGATCTGGGGAGAGAGCCCCTGGCCTGTGGGGGAGAAGCCTGCTCTGAGGAGATCTGTCTCCAGGGAAGGTTCTAAACTAGATTATTGGACCCGCAGGGAGTGGGGAGGGCTAGCCCAGGGTGCCCACACTGCAGAGAGAAAGTCCAGAGGGGTGGGAGGGGGTGAGGAATGGACAATTCAAGGCGGCAGTGAATTTGAAATGACAGTGCAGTTCAAGGTATGCCTGGGGAGCCAGGGTCCCTTTCCATGGGACCAACCTTGAACTTTAGGGTCTGGCTGTTGGAAGAACCAGCGATCCCTTCTCCGGATCTCCTTGGGGAATGGTTTGGATACACGACTTTTTGAGTTTGGTTTTGTTTCTCATGTCAGGGCTCTGCAGACGCTGGCCACACACCTAGCTATTTTCAGGAGGGACACAGCTGAGGCTCACTGGGGGTGACACAGGTCCTTCCCAGGGAGGGCAAGGCACAGCTCCCCTAAATTCTACTCCACTCCCCGCAAGTCTCCCAGCAGGGCCACCCAGTCCAGCTCAGGCAGGGGGAGGGCCTGGAGAACTGAAGGGCGGAGGGAAGCACGGGCCCTGCGGGTCAGGGCACCATGTGCCACCACTTGAAGGGGAAGGGCTTCCTGCGGACGTTGGTGCCGCAGTGCACCTCCCCCAGGAACTTGTGGTAGGCGGAGATGTCGTCGATGAAGGTGCAGCAGAAGCCCAGCGGCTCCAGCAGGCCGCGCACGTGCGTCTCCAGGCAGCACTCCTCCTCCAGCTGGGGCCCGAAGGGCTTGGGGATGCCCAGGTCCTTATCCAGCACAATCATGTTCACCTAGGGTAGGAGCAGGTGCTTTGTAAGCACTACTGTGCGCATGCCCTGTTCTCAGCTCCTGCAGCCCTTGCTACAATCCTATGAAGGAGAAACTGGGACAAACCTCTTTATGGTGTGGGGAAACTGAGGCACACAGCATGCTAAGCAACCCACAGATGGGAGGGCTGACTGGAAAAACCAGGCAACCTGCCTTGGTACATATGTATATGTGTGTAAAAGCATGCATAAGCATACCACATGCACGGACATGTGGCTACCTATGCATGCATCTGTGCACACATGTATATGTGTGTGGATATGCATGCACGGGGGCATTCTGTATGCATCTGTATATACACATGTAGACGTGCATGTACATGCGTGTTGATCGTCCTCCTATTTTTTCACCTTTTGCAAACAGCTTCCTATTTGTTAAGGTAGAGCCTTCTCAGTACCCCGAGGGGACAGCTGGGACAAACGTGTCACTCTGAGGAGGGAACCTCCGCACTCAGAGAAGGCAGGCGACTGGGGTGATGTCACCCAGCCGCTCAGCCTGGACTGGGGCCTGAGTTCCTGATTGGGCAGCCTCGGCCGGGGCTCCTTCCAGATCTGACCACCCCCAACTTGGAGTGGATGAGGGCTGGGAGCCGGAGGGTCTCACCATGTTTGGGAAGAAGGCCCTGGCCTGGCGGCCCTCGTCCATCTTGAATAGAGCGGGCAGGTCGATGATGTCCTGCTCTGTCAGCCCCAGCTCCTTTTTGAGGATGTCGCGGTTCCAGTCCAGGCAGCGCTGGGTGGGGGCAGACCAGGGCATCAGGGAAGGGACACACAACTGCCACCCTGGCTGCAGTGTCAGGCTAAGGGCCCTGGCACTCCAGAGAGACTCCCAGCTCTCAGCCGGCACCTGGTCACCTCTCCTAGTGCCCCGTCTTAGGACTTGGGGATGGCCGAAATGATGACAACAACCCAGAAACAACACCAGCAACTGCCACTCACCGAGCATCTCTGCTGGGCCGGCCCCTGTGCCAGGTGATCCTCTCCAGGACCTCACTGGCCCGAGGCCATCCCAGGACACTGATGATGGCTTTGTTAATGATTGTAGCAGCAAATGCATACATGTATCTGGCTCTGTCCTGAGCGCTGGACACAGGTATTTAGTTAAGCCTCAGCCTGTGGGGGAGATACCAGCCTCACCCCTTTTTTAGAGATGGGAGACCACAAACAGAGTCATAGTGAGCTGCCTGGGATCCTTCTTCCCAAAGCAGGGGCCAGGATTTGACCTCAGATCTACCTGACCCCAGGAAACAATCAGTGAGGGATGCGTATAATAAACCCAGCTTTCTAATAGTGAGGGGATTGGTGACCTTTACTGGGTCTTATATCCGTCACTTCTCCCTGCAGTGTCGCAAACATTGCCCTGCCCAGTCAGTACCCTGATTGCCTCTACCTCTTTGCTCCAGTGATCAAGTTAGGGATGGGCAGTAACTCAGGATTAAGCAAATCAATGTATAGACCCCTCGGCTAGAGTAATTGGTTCAAGTTGGGTCAAATCAGAGTGAAATGCTAGCTCTTGTTTGATTGCTGCAGGGCATAAAAGGGCTCTTTTTTGCTTGTGATATGCTGGGTGTATGTCAGGCCCTGAACTATTCGCAGCCATGAGGGTACCTGCAGAGACCAAGAAGTGCAAAGAAATGGAGCTGGAACCCTGATCAACCTGTGCCTGAAATCCATACCACTGCTGGACTTCCCACTTGTATGAGTCAATCATATCTTTTTGTTTAAACCAATTTGACTTGTTTTCTGCTTCTTAATTTTTAAAATATTTGCATGCAAATAAACAGAAGCTTAAGTCAAATAAATATGACTGGTTTCGGGGCTGGGGATTTAGCTCAGCAGCACAGCACCTGCCTGGCAAGCGCAAGGTCATGAGTTCAATTCCCGGTACTGGAAAAAAACCAAAAAAAAAAAAAAAAAAAAAAAAGATTATGACTGGTTTCTATTTCTGGATATAATCTTGAGACTTAAGAACTCCTAGTGGGGTCAACACATGAATCAAAAACTTCAGTATTTGATTTCCTAACACTCAGAGATCAGGACTTGTGCTTATACAAGCATTTTTCTGGAAAGCCGGTCTGAAGCGTTTGTCATGTACTGAAGGAGTGTGTCTTCCCCAGATGACACGTGCTCTAGCCTGGCAGAGGTCTTGGGCCTTTGGCACTGCTGGTGCCCCTATCTTCCTGGAGCTCCCGGCCCTGCTAGAAGAGACTTTAACGCCCTTTATGTTCACCTTCAGCACAGGACTACCGCAGGGGGCTGCTTGCGGGCTTGTCAAGGCCCTCTGGGTGCTGGCACATTCTGGATCGTGAGCCCCTGACCAGGAGCCCCCAAGCCTGTGTGTTCTCCACAGAAGCCCCGGAACATGACGTAGATGTAAGCCTGGCTCTTTCCAGCCCCTCACCTGGAAGTAGTGGTTCTCCTTCACGAGGCTCTCACTGGACAGGATCTTGTTGATGGTGATCCGCTTGCTGCTCATTCCCCCGAGGCCTGCGGGGGTCAGAGGTCAGGGCAGTCAGACCCGAGACACCGGGGCCAGGGCTCTGTCTGAGCTGACAGCAGGACTTGGAGGCAGAGGCGGATAAGAGGGTGAAGCCAGGCAGAGGCCCGGGAAGAAGGGAACCCTCGCTCTCTTCCTGCGGAGGGCCGCGTACACTCCTCTCTCCTGCGTGGGCCCTGTCTCCTGGAAGGAGAAAGGGTGGCAGCCGCCTTGCCCTCAATCTGGGCAGCGGGTGGGGGTGGCATAAGCAGCCACCTGGTTCTCCCATCTGGAACCTGCTCCCGTGAACAGCAGCTGAGCAGGGCGAGTACGAGAGAAGCCGCATCACCTTTGCTATTGTCCAGACTCACCCCTTGCTCAGGCCCTGCCCCGGAAAGGAGGCTGCCTCTGCCTCTGGTCCGCCTGACACCTTGTGGCTTTGGCTGATGAGTGATACCTAAGGCTCACTGAGCGGCTGGATATGGCAGGTGCTCTTCTAAGGCTCCACAATGACAGACTCATTAGTCCTCCCTACATTTCTACGCTAGGTGAGGAAACTGAGGCGCACAGTGGTTACGTGACTTGTCCGGGCGCTCACAAGCAGCTCACGGCTGAGCTGGTGGGCACGCCGGAGGCTGACGGCGGAGCCGCTCCTCTCCTGTACTTCTGCCTGCTCTAGGAGGAGCCTGCTTGGACCCCTGCACTTCCTAGGCTGGACAGTGGCCAAGAGATCAGGGCCGGGCAGGGGTCATAGCTCAGTGGCTGTGCCTTCGCTTAATGTGTGCCAGGACCTGAGTTTGATCCCCAGTACCGCAGGAGAGAAAAGGAGAAAGGAAGACAGACGGGGCTGTGAGACCCTTGTCTGTGCTGTCTCCCTGCTTCTCGCCCTTGTTAGCACAAAGGTAATAATCATGGTTCCTGTATCCTATGGGTAGCTTTTATGCTATGTTTAACAGAGAAAGGAATGGGGCTGGGGATACAGCTCAGTGGCATAAGCGCCTGCCTGGCAAGCGCAAGGTCGTGAGTTTGATCCCCGGTACTGCAAAAAAAACAAAAAAAAAAACAACAACAAAACAAACAAACCAGAGAAAGGAAGCTTCCAAAGGTCAAGCTTCCTGCCCGTCTAGGAAGAAATTTCCCTTAGGGGTGGGGGCATGATGGACAATGTCATAGTCTGTTCCTCTCTGTCCCAGACGCCTACAGCAGCCAGGAACTCCGGCTGTGGATGTGGAGATGTAAGCGGCGACCGGCCTCGGGGACACAGGCGTGTAGGTGGAAGATATAGTGGGCATGCTCACCTGAAAAGTGGCAAAATGCAACTGAAGAAAAAACCGTCTAACGGACATAAACAGAGGTGACGGCTATTCAACGCCACACGTGTGCTTTGGTCCCCGGTTTGTGTCCTCGTCGAAACGACAGGAGGGCGATGTAATTTCAGCACGATAACAGCAACCGAAAAGCAGCAGGAATTGCCACGGCCTCTAACCTGGCTGGCGGTCTCTGCCTGATCACTTTGCTCCTTTTCCATGATTAATTTACGTGCACGCCTTGGCCCAGTACACTTGCCCCAGTTAAGCAGATGTCTAAATTACCCGGATCATTTCTCATTCTGGGGCTGACAGTGATGATGCCTGACTGTCAGCATGGCTGCCATAGCCCGCTTTTCTTCCTGGCCCTACACCATGTTTGGTTTATTTTCCTGTCCGTCTCCTATTGTGAAATACGAGCTCCGGGGTGCTGACCGTGCACAGGTTTTGGAGCCTCCAACCCTCCCACGGGCCCGGCACATTTAGGTCCTGAGAAAACCCTTGGTGTTGTTGGTGACAGTAGGAGGAGGGGGTAGACCAGTGAGCCACTTGGCTACAGCAAGGGACACAGAGGCCTGGGCTGCTCCCGCTGGGGTGGCCTTGTAAACCCTACAGTGGGCCAGACATTAGGGGCAGCACGGCTGGGTGCTCACCTGTCCCGTGCTGCTGAGCTTATCTTAGAGACTTCCTGCCGAGGCCCTGGGCCACTCACCTTTGAACATGATGGCTTCGCCGTGGCCTTCCCTTTGCTTCTCTCGGAAGAGCTTGTAGCAGGCCGAGGTGCTGGCCATGAGCAACCGGAATTCCTGCAAGAGACAGGCATGCAGCACCCTGACAGCGGGGAAGGCAGCCAGGAAGCAGGAAGGGTCCCTGTCCTGTCTGTGTCCAAGGACTATTTCTCACCCTTTTGCCATCTCGACAGTCAAAGCTCAGAGTCAAAGGTGGCCTTGGACAGAGTGGAAGAGCTTCCTCGAGATGCTGCGAGGCAGGCCATTTGCACAGGATTTCTCGGGTTTGGGGTGGCAGCCACTCCTTTCCAGAAAATGAAGCTGCAGACCCCAACCCATCTCTCTCCAGAGCATTATGGCCAATATGGCAGCCACTGGCACCACGTGATGACCAAATTTAACTATGCCTACTCCGAGTAGAGTTGAGCTAGAAGAATAAGATATTTACCAGATTATAAAGACTCAGTATGAAAAAAGAATGAAAAACTTTGATAGCCGCAACATGCAAACCAGTTTCAGCCTACTTCCTTCTTCCTCTGTGCTACTATTTCCTCTAGATCCTGCCTGCTGCCGGCAGAGGCTGGCAGCCGTGGGCTCTCTGCTCTCCTGTTCACTCCAGTCCTGGGGACAAGCTCACCTTTGTGCCTGGGATGGGGACGAAGGTCATGAACTCATCCACGTGACCCACGGTCAGCCAGTCCGAGTAGAGCTCCACCACAGGCGCCTGCACCTGCTGGGCTTCCAGGAAGTCGCGTACCACCTTGGTCATCCGCCGCCCGCCAGACCTGGGGTGAGGATGGGGAAGGAGTGGCTCTTCAGAGGGTCACCCACCCTGCCTGCCACAGAGAGCCTGCAGCCTGGGCCAGCACGGGATCAGCCTGCACGGGCTTCCAGATCTGCCCTGGCCTATTACCAAAGAGCCACAGTAACTTCAATTCATTTTAATTGGCTCAAGAGACACCTCCTCCAGGGAGCCTTCCTGACCGCTAGACTCCACGAGGCCTTCAATCTCCCCATTTTCCTTAGGCTTCAGCCCTAGCTCCTTTGGCTGCCAACAGTCCTGCCCTATGACCTGGCTCCTGCCTGGCCCTGCTGCCTCAGCTGCCTCCCTTCGTCCTGGTTCTGTGTGCTCCAGCCCCCTGCCAAGCTCGTCACTGTTGCCCTTGCTGTGCCCGCTGTTCGGAAGGCTTTTTCTCTCCTCTGCGGCCTCCGTGGCTCAACCCTGAAGTCACCGCCTCAGACCCACGACGGCCGAAGTCCCCCGTGCAGGGCCTTTGCCACGTGCCTCGCTTTGTCTTCCTTACTCTCATCAGAACCCAGCTGTTCTGCAGCCTGTCCATTCTCCACACCCCTTACCCAGTGAGAGCCCCCGGGCTGGGGCTTTGTGTCCTACTCACTGCTCTGTCCCCAGAGCCCAGGGCAGCCCGGCACAGTCTCTCTCCAAGAAGTCTTTGTCTCCAGCATGCCTTCTGAACTTCCTCTTTGGGACCCCCAGCTCCCTGCTGTTCTCTCTCTATGCTCCTCTCTTTCCTTAGGGCCAACCTGCATAGCTCTGACCCCCACTGTCTCCTTGAAGGCTGGGGGAGGGCTTGGCACTTGGCTGGTACTCAGGAGATAGTTGTTGAACGGAATGGATGAGTGACCATTGAGTGGAGGGAGAAGAGAAAGAGGATGGGAAAATGGTCACCCGCCTCCCTTTAGGAGAACTTGGCTCCCAGAGCCTGGATGACTGCATACATGCAGGTTCCTGGCAGCCCTTTTGTACAGTGAGAACCCAAGTACACATTATCTCCCCAGCGACTGTCTTGACCTAGGCAGAATCTGCCTTTTATTTGCTGGTGGGTTAATCAGGCAGGGAGTTGGGGCGCTGTGGACAGGTCAAAGAGCCAGGGACTCATGCTTCTGGGGCTGGGCCATTTCTTATTGTTTCTTTCATATATGGAAAGATCAGAGGATTCATGGATGTGCTCCCACTCATGTCTGTGTGTCTCCCTTTCCTAGAGTCTGTTATCTCTTCCCCATGGGTTTATAATCTTCTACACTCTCCCATTTGAGGAAGACACTTATTTCTTTGGGTATGTATTAAATACTAATTTATACTAAGCTGTAAAGGCTAACTTGGTTTTTTTTTCCCCCTAAGAGCATCTATAATAACGGACAGTCATGGCAGGAAGTGATTCTCCCAGGGACTCATTCCATGCACCAGCACCCAGGTGACCCCTAAAGAGAAACATCCCCAGCCCTCTCCTATTGCCCATCTCCACCTCAGCTTCTCTTACAGAGGGAAGCTGCTCCCGATGAGGATCCGCCCAAAGGGGTACGTCTTGCCGTTCACGGTCACCGGGGGGCTGACCTCCAAGTTCCCAAAGGAATCAAGGCTGGTGACGGGCTCAAAGAGGGGCTCCCGGGTCACGTAGCCGAAATCCGGGCCCTGGGCGGAGGCACACACCTGCCATTAGTCCCCTACAGCCAGCAGTGCCCAGCCCCGGGCAGCCACCCGCAGACGCCCAGATGCCCACCCCTTCACCTCCAGTGCCTGGTGCTGTGGGCCCGATTGCCTGTGGTTGTGTCATTTCTCCAGGGGCCCAGGCACTGGGAGGAGAGTTTGTGAGCACGCCAATGGGGTGAGTGTGGGAGTGTGTGTGCATCCGGATCTCTGTGTGTGCCTCTTTTCCCAAGCAAGATGCACAGACGTGACTTCAGTTCTCATGTGTGCTCTTATTGTCCCCCCTCAGCTCTCAGACCCTCAGTTTCCCTAAATGTAAAAGAGGTGTTGCAGTACGCGACCTGAGGCGGGGAAGTAGACTGGATTATTATTCCCAGGGATTTGGCTTCCTGACTCATCACCCTGTGACTTCTGATATCTCCCTGCCAAAGCAATGGCCTTCTCTGGCCAGTGTCAGGGTCACATGACAGGCTTTGGCCAATGAAATGTGAGCAGAAGGGAGGTGTGTCAGCAGTTCCAAGCAGAAGCTCAAGCACCACTCTGTGCTTTGTTTTCTTCTTCCTGCGCTAGCAGAATGGCGTTTCTCAGCCTGGGGCTGCAACTCTAGAACAGGGAAGGCATGACAAAGTGGGTGTGCAGGCAGAAGACTAGCCACGGAACAAGAAGCACACCTTTGCTGGTGTCAGCCACTGAGATGGGGGCTTGTTTGTTACAGCAGCTTTCCCTAGGGACAGCTGACCAATACATACAGGAATGGTGGATATGATATACATGCCAATCAACCCAACCTCAAGCACTACACTCGCCCCCGATGCTTGAATCCTTCTTAACATAGCACTCCAACAAGCTGGAATTGGCACACAAAATGTAACTCCACTGATGCCCTAAATTTTAAGGTTCCTTTCATGATTTTTTGGGGGAGGGGTCAAAATATAGGATTTTGTTTGGTGAGCTCACACTGGGGTTGAGACTAGGATTACATGACAAAAATCTCCATTAGAGGGGCCAGGGATATAGCTCAGTGGCATAAGCACCTGCCTGGCAAGCACAAGGTCCTGAGTTTGATTCCTGGTACCCCCCAAAAAATGTGTTAGAAAAACCCAGAAAGCAGGAGGATGTGGCTTGTCCTGGACCAGCTGAGCAGCTCCAGGGAAAGCTGTGCCAGTGCATGGGTGGCTGCGGCTTAGTGCTTTCTCGCCGGGCCGGCCCAGCAGGCCTCGCTCGTGAGCTGGCCCGAGATGGCTGGAGACTGGCAGCTGGGGCTTCACAGTGTCACCCAGGCAGCTAGCTAGTAAGCAGCACAACGCCAGGCCTGGCCCAGGGCTCCGGGAACAATGTAGCCTGGGGCTTAGGAATGAAGCCAGCTTGGAACACTGAAGGCAGGTGGCGGCCCAGGGAGGGGAGAGAGCAGGGCTGGGGCTTCGTTCTCCTGCCGGCCGCAGCCCTGCGAGCGACTGGTTTGACTTGATGCCCTGAGGTGTTGGGGGAGTGGACAGGAGGCTCATGGGACAGTGTCCCGAGCTCTGCAGTGAAACCCATAGCACCAGTGACTAACGGTCACTGAAGTAGCCCCGCACTGATGTCATACACATGCCTTGAATCTTCACTGTGATACTATGAGACCAATGCCATTTCTTTCCATTTTACAGATGAGCAAACTAAGGCTTATGAAGGTTAAGTTGCTTACCCAAGGTCCCATCTCTGCTAAGGGACTGCTACCCCTGACCTTCTAAAGCTGGGCTCACACTATCAGCTCTCCCATCTCCTCAGGATGAGGGGACCAGGTGAGTTAATGTTCTCAGAAAGCTGGTGTGAGGCTGGGCGTGGTGGCGCACAACTGTAATCCCGGCACTCGGGAGGCTGAGGCAGGAGGATCGTTGCGAGTTTGAGACCAGCCTGGGCTACAAAGTGAGCTCAAGGCCAGCCTGAACTGCATAGTGAGACCTTGCCTCAAAAAGACAAAAAGAAAAAAGAAAAAACAAAAACAGAAAGCAGGTGTGGCCTCTGAGCAGCCCCTGATGTCAACAGAAGGGGTCCTATGTGTGACCTTGGGAGGCCCCCAGCATACCCTGTCTGTGCCTCATGCTGTGCCCAGGCCTCCTCGAGCTGCTCAGCATGGCGGACGAGGACAGAAGTGACTGATTTCCGTTCTGCAGTCAGATGGTGGCCACGGAGGGCGCGGAAGGGAGTGAGATAACGGTCTTTGGACTCAGAGGAGTCAAATGGCTTTAAATGCTAAAAACCATAGCTTCAAGGCCCTGATGAACTTTAAAGTCAGAACCATGATTTTTGACAATTGCATGACTATGATTTTCCTCTTTGAAACATATTTGGCTGTAAGTTAGAGGGCCAGGCCTGCCGCGGGGGTCAGGGCCCCTGGGAATGGATCTGGCCCTGTCTCCCACGGTTCCCATTTTCCACCTGGAAACTGTTTTGGGAGCATTGGTTATCAAAGCAGGAAGGGACCTCAGAGGCCTCTGTTCCAGCTCACCCATCTTGCAGATGGGAAAACAGAGGCCCTGAGCAGCAGACTGGTTTATCAAGGGTCAGCCGGCTTCCTGACCGCTCTGTCCCCTATGAGTTCCGTGTGTCACCTCCCCCACGCTCCCACCACTGGCCCTCTGCTTCTCACCAGGAGCTGCTTTATGGGGAAGTCCTTGAGATTCCCATCTCGGGGGGAGTCCAGCACCACGGGGAAGCCTTTGTGCGGGGCCTCGATGTAGCCAAACTCAATTTCATCCTGCGAGAACACCAAGGACAGGGGTGAGCCCTGTGAACTTCAGTCAGCTGAGAGGAAGGGAGGGGGACAGGGAGACAGGTGCGCTCAGGAAGGAGCAGGGAGTTTGTGCCTCCCGGTCCCTACACAAATGACAGCAGCACATCTCCCCACAGATTGTCTGTGCATATAGCAAGCATGTTTTTTAGCAGCACTGACCGCACTTTTCTTTTTTTTCTCTGAGACAGGGTTGTACTATGTCTTGAAGTCACAGTGATCTTCCTGTCTCAGCCTCCCAAGTGCTGGGATTATAGACATACACCACTATGCCTGGTTTGACCTCTTTTTTTTTTCTGTCTTTTTGAGTTAGGGTCTCGCTATGCAGTTCAGGCTGGCCTTGAGCTCACTTTGTAGCCCAGGCTGGTCTTGAACTCGCAACAATCCTCCTGCCTCAGCCTCCCGAGTGCTGGGATTACAGGCGTGCACCACCATGCCCGGCCTTGACCTCTTTTTAAAAACATAAATGGCATCATCCTGACCATGTTTTCCTTCAAGTAACAGCTTAAAGTGAAGCACGTTCTGTACCGGCCTCATGCTTTCGAGCTGCTGCACACAGCTTCCCGGTAAGCTGTCACCCCTGCGGAGGGATGCTTCATCGTTTGGCCATCTTTAGTCATGACAAGTAGCCACACTACAGTGACTTCCCGCCCTAACTCTGTGCACACGTGCAGGGACAATCCCTCGCCCGGGGCCCCTGCGGGCCAGGTGTTCCGCTAAGTCAACCCCTCTCGTCTGATCCCGGCCGTGTCCTCCCGACCAGGCCCTCACCTGGATCCAGCGGTCGCCCCGGTTCATGTACTGGAAGCAGACCTTCAGCTCGCAGTTGGTTTTCTCTACTAGGTTCTTCACCTCCTTGAGGAACAGGTAGTTGTCCTTCATGCTGGCAAGGTGGGGAAGACGAGGAGGCCAGGAGGAAGGGTGAGGGGGGACAAGGGCCACCCTCAGGGGGTGGGGGCAGCAGCTGAGGCCGCCTCGTGTTCAGTCTCCTTTGTAAAGGCCACTGGAGTCCAGGGCCACCCGCTTAGGCAATTTTTGTCTAATAAAAGCAGGATGGGAGCTTTCACCCTCACCTGCCTAAAGCCTACCTCTCTGACCTGCCAGATTTACATACGAGCTATGCCTAGCCTGATGCTGCCCGGTGAGGGTTATGGGAACCTCAGGGGTTCCTCCTTAGGCTGCCATTGTGGGCATTTCTTTCCCTTGCTTCTCATCTTGCTGAGGTTAACCTGGCACATAATAAATACTCAATAACAACTTGCTTTAGGAGAGGGCAAGGTGAGCTGACGGGCCATTGCTCAGGGGGTCCCCAACCGCATGGCGCAGGGCTGAAGGGGGAAGGGCTACTTCTGGAGCACATGCCCCGCCTCAGGTCAAACGCTGGCCTGCTTCCTCTCATTTAATGCTCACAGTGACCCTGTGAGGCCGGGTGAATAGTTCCAAGTCACCCAGCCGCTAAGTGACAGCATCCAGAACCAGACTCAGGTCAGCCTGACCCGGAAGCCCAGCCCTCAGCCGCGCGGCCAGGCTGCCTCTCCGGGCCGTGGTGACCCCTTACCAGCACACAAACACCGACACGGGAGGCAGGATGTTGGGCGTCATGATCCACGGCGCGATGCGGAAGGTCACGGTATCCGTGAAGATGGGCGTCAGGGGAACCTCCTGGGCGTGGGACAGAAGGGCCGCGTGAAAAAGTCACATCAGGGCGCACTCCACGCACGCCTTCCGGAGTAGGTGAAGCTTGTGAGAGTCATACACTGATTGAGCACCTACTGTATACCAGGCCCCATGGTACTTTCACATGAGTTGATTCATTTCTGCCTTACAATAGCTCCAGGGGCAGAGGATACTATAATCTTCATTTTTTTAAGGTGGGGAAACCAAGTCACAGAGCTGGTGAGTAACTGTTGAGGGTTACATGGTTAGCAAGGGGTACAGCCAGGCTTCCAACCCAGGTGCTCCAGTGCTGAGTGTGCCATCCTAAACCCCACCCCATCAAAGTTCCTGTCCTGAAATCACCCCCATTTGCAGGTGTTTTGTCTTCTGGGTGATGGATGGGGAAACTGAGGCACGGTGAGGTGAATTCACTCGCCCAGTGTCTCATGGTGGTGAAGGCAGGATTCAGCCCAGAGCCCGTCCTCATACATCTCAGCAGGGGCCAGCCTCACCCGTATACAGCTCTCCCTGCGTCCTGCCCCAGAGGGACCCGGGGTGAAATGGGACGGGCCTCTGTGTCAGGTAGAGCAGCCAGTCCCTCTTTTCTGACCAGAGAGGCTGGGGCCAGGGACCAAGGTCCTTGGGACGAGTGGCTCTGATCACAGGACGCACCCCCAGCAAGGGGCTTCCCCGCAGGGCCGAGCTCTTCTCCTCCTCCAGCTGCCCCTGGGCAAAGGCAGAGCTGCTGGGTGGGTGGCCGAGAGCAGGGGTCAGAGCTGGTGTGTCAGAGCGGGGCGGGAAGAGCAGGGTGCACAGTAGAAGGCCAACAAAGCTCACAGTGAGGCCTAGTTAGAGCCTTGCGCTGACCACCGGGCCTCTGTGCCTCAGAACCAGGAGGACCACTGCAGGGTGGGCAGGGCACAGGCTTGGGAGGCTCAGGAGTTCCTGGGAGCAGGTGTGGCAAGGAGGAGGGTCCTGGGGGACAACCCAGAGGACCACAGCAACACGTGTAGGCCACGGGGAATACCCAGGACTCCTAGCCTGGACCCACTCAGTGCTTTGAGGGGTGCGGGGCACACTGGGGCCCCATGGAAGTGGCTGTCTGGGAGAAGCTGCACCCTAGGCAGCCCCTGGCGGGGAAGGCTGGGGTCCCCACCTCGTCCATGTACTCCAGCAGGCTGACGTGGATGGAGACCAGGCCCGAGAAGCCCTCGTCAGGGAAGCGGAGGCCTTCCACGAAGAACAGAAGCTCCGCGGAGCCGCCCGTGTACTTGACCACGTGGTAGAGCTTCTTTCGGCCCAGGATGTGGATGTAGCGCTCACCGAAGAATGGGTCTGGGGGACAGGGAAGGACCCATGTCAGTCCCCTGCCCCATCAGGTGGAGGTCAGGGAAGTCACCAAGGGGGACAGGGGCAGAGCGGCCTGTCCTCTCTACACGGAAAGGAGAGCATAAGCAGAAAATGCCACGGGGATGCCTGTGACACGTCATTATCATCGTCTCAGCACTGCGGTGTGCCAGCTGGCTTCTGGCTTCCTCGTCTACAAAATGAGCCGGCTCTTGTGAATGGCACATGGGAAATGGTAGCAGATGATAATTACACTAGTGCAGCACGGAAGGACGTTATTACTCCCATTTCACAGACGAGGAAACTGAGTCACAGAAAGGAGAAATAGCTCCTCTGAGGGCATACAACCAGGAGGCAGTTGACCTGGGACTCAGATTCATGGCTGCTTCTGAATCCTGACCTCCCATCCCCTTCATGTAAATAAACCATAAATGGACCCATTTGTGCCCAAAATTCCCCTCTGTCATGAAAGCCAGTTAGGGTAAAGACCTACGTGTGGGTCTCTGGCTCTCCATTGTCACAGCGGGGAGGAAAGGCAGGTTTCTCCAGTGTTCCTGTACCCCTGCAACCTCCAGCACATCACAATGCTGTTCCCCTGGGAGGGTCTGGCCCCTCTTCCCTCCGGGCTTTGGTTTGTGTCGCTTGTGAGAATCCTGCCCGGACCCCCAGGAGCAAACCAGGGGCTGTTTGGAAGTTCTGCAGCCCCCTGCCCTTCCCCCACACTCCGCACAGCCTTTCCAAATGCACATGCCCAGCGTGAGGGCAGAGCCAGCCCTGGCCAGGCCCTGCCATCTGCCTGGCGCATGGTCTTGTTGAATATGTCTTGTGAATGCACCAACGGCTCCCATGCCACGCCCGAGAGGAGAGGCCACTTGGGAATTTTCAGGCTGCTGGAGAGCACGTGAATGTGAATTATTACTGCTCTGTCACCAGCTGTGCAAGGGCCTCCGGGAGACAGATGATCACCGTGCAGATCTAAGAGCAGTGCTCAGCCGGTGATAAGATGGAGCGGATGTGGGGAGGCTTACAACAGAGATCTTGTGGGGTTATGTGGAGTGCAGTGGGGTGCGGAGGGGAGAGGAGCAGGGTGGCAGCATCTGAGCAGAGAGGGGCAGCCTTTGAGATGCCCTCGTGGGGTGCCAGGGGCGGTGGTGGGGGTGGGGGAGGAGATACTTGCGCTGGCCAAGGCATGGAGGGAGGACCCTACGCAGTTCCACAAGGAGTTTCCTTAGGCCTTGCAGAGCTGGGAGGGCAGAATCAGGCTCAGCTTGGTGCTTTTAACAACAGTGATAATGATTAGGGACCAGCTGTCCAACAGTTAGAGCAGATAACCACCAGAACATTCCTGGCACCAACAAGATACTTGATCAAAACCCGTGAGATGAGAAGCCCAGGCCCACGATGGCTCTTCCTGTGGGACAGTGTGCTCAGCTGGACTTCCCTGAGCCTCAGTTTATGCATCTGGTTAATGGGAGGTAATGCCATCTATGCCACAGGGTCACTGCAAGTGACACAGTATCAGCAACCTTGGTAACCTCAGTCAGGTAGGAACTGAGACCGAATCAGCACGCCCCTACTGCGACACTCGTGGCCTTTTCATTGGACAGCTTCTGAACAGAAGGTAAAGAAGCAATAGTTCACTGCACTTCCCCTGGGCGTGTCTAAGAAAGAAAGTGGATGGATTCACACCCTGAGTGGCTCAGGGAATGTTTTCACAGCCCAGCACAGAAGGTGAGGTCCTTCTTACGCACAAAGGACAGTGTGTGCCCTTCGGCCCACTCTCTGCGTAGATCCAGATGGGTGTGTGCACGGGGACAAAGTTAATCTCCCCCGACACTCGGGCCTTCCACACCTTCCACAGGCTGGCTGCACTTGAACCAATGCTCGGGAGAGACATCACACCTGAAGCCAATTTTTCTTTGCAGAATTGGCAGAAGCCAAGCTCTCCCGGGGCTCAGAACAGCTGGGGGCTCCACTGGGGTCTGAGATGGAGGGGATCAGGCCAGAGGAGGGGGCCAGGTGGAGAACATGGTCTGTCCTCTGCTGCAGCTCTCTCCTCCCCATGGGGCCCATGCCCTGCAAATCACAATGTGTCTCTGTGCTGGCCCTCTTTCAGGCAGTTTGGGGCTGCGCCGGGGGACTGATTTGTTGGTGGGAACAATACAGCCATTGTCCCAAGGAGCCTCTGTCCCTTCCTGGTACAGAGCCAGCTGCCCCCAGCATGGCCAGCTTTGCCTGTGGGCAAAAACAATGTCCTCTGTGGAGTTGTCCTTGTGCCTTGTGCTGGGGCCACCCGCCACCCTGACCTCTCCGGAGCCTTAGGCGTTGGCCCCAGCTGGCCAATGCGTGGTATGGCTTGGAGTCACCCTTCCAGTCACTCGAGCAATTCTACCTCCCAAGGAGACTCTGAGAGTGTGACAGCTGCCGCAGTTTGCCTAGGATTGAGGTGTTTCCTGGCATGAGGGACTTTCATTCCTGCAATCAGGAAGTCCTGAGCAAATGGGGACAAGGTGGTCACCATAGCCTTGTAGGAAAAGGTAAGGGCCCAGCTTTTGGGGTTCTGGGAAGAGTGTGAGACTGGAGCAGGTCACCAGGCCTTCCATGGGGACTGGAGACTTCTGTCCATCCCAACAACCATAACTAGTAATCACTGTAACATTTCCCACAAAAGCAACAGCCTCCCGTTTCCATAGAGCATTCCACGCGCCAGCATTGCGCTCACTCCGTCCCTCTTGCCATGAGGACAGTGGGGACCCCTGTCATCCCCACGTCACATCACAGATGGAGGTCCCAGGGCTGGGGGTGGGGAGGTGACTTCCCTGGGTGCAGAGCTCTCTCTCGGGGGGGGGGCCCCAGCCCAGCCCCCTTGTCCTCTGGGAGAGCTGGACCTTCTCTGCTAGGACACAGGTGACCAAGTGACATTCGTGTAACACACACATTCTCACCCCCAGGTATATTCAGATTTTGACAAAATCTCCAAAATGCTTGCATGGAAGAAAAGGAAACCGGGCTACACATGAATTATTTGTCTCCATTTTTGCCTGAGTAGTGGTCTTGGAGTCCACACTGATGGAGAAACTGACCAGAGTGGGTGGTCACTGTCTCAGGGCGTGGCCCTTCCCGTAGGACGTGGGCCCAGCTGACAGTCTTGGGGGACAGTCTCTATCCCTTGCAGTGGGAGTTCCCCTTTTTTCTAGCCCCTCAGGAGGACACATCTTGGGGGCGGGCCAGGGGAGGGCTTGCGAATGTGGGGGCCGAATCCGAGCCCACTCCCACGAACGCAGGCAGAAACTTCTCAAAACCGCCAGATAGCACCGGGAGCGGCAAGTCTCTGTGAATGCCAAGGCTGGGTCAAGGCCCAGGCCAAGGTCTGGCCTGCACCGCTCCTGCGTCGTGGCAACTCTGGCTTTGATGGAGTATAAACATCAACATCTCTGGCACCCTGGGGCTGCGGAGCCGGCCTGGCTCCGGGGACATTCCAGCCCGCGTGAGGTCACTGCCCAAGGCCTGGGGTGGGTCAGAAGAGGGCTGGCCTCGGGAGCTGCTGTCCACTGGTGCCCTGGCTCAGTCACTCCCTGAGGTGAGGGCCCCCGGTGACTGCCTGGCTCTCGTGCATCATTCCAGAAGTGGTCCTGCCTCCCAGAGTTTCCCACACACCGCTGACATAGGAGGTGGGGCGTGGCAAACCTCACTGAAGAAATAAGTGGGACCTGTCAATTACAAGATCCCGGGGCAGCACCAAATAATTCTCAGGAACCTGAACTTCTCGCCGGCTCCCACGAGATGTGGATTGCATACACAGATACAGCAGTCACACGGAGCCTGCTGTTGTGACTCCTCCTAGTAGGGGCTGGGGTCCCTGGAGTGCACTTTTAGCTTTACATTTATCTCTTCCTCTCTTTGTTTGGCCCAAGTTCGCTCTACAGAGCTAGCGCTTCCCTTTTCCCTTCACCTCTCACTTTTCAAATAAACCTTTGGCACCGTTTGGGGCTTGTCTCGTCCAGCTCTTTGTCTGAGGTAAGAAGGACGTGGGATATGTTTAATCGGTGAGCCATTTCTAAAGGCACTGCCCGCCGACACCATGACAAAACTGCGGAGCTGTGTAACCGAGGGAATTTCAAAATACATAAATCAGATCTTGGCAGTCCCTGCTTAAAACTCTCTAATGGCTTTCCACTGCGCTTAGAATAAAATCCTACCCCTGTCGCATGCTCTGGCCCCTGGCCCCTGGCCCCTGGCCCAGCTCCCTGACCTTGACTCCCAGTACCCCCTGCTCTGCTCTCTCTGCTCTTCCAAAGCTCCGATGGGTCCCCTCCTCCTGCGCTGTGGGCGCTGTCCCCTCTGCTCAGAACTCCATTCCTTCAGCTCATGAATGGCCGGGTCCTTCTCGCCGTTCCTTTGAGTCTGAGCTCAGGCTGTTCCACTTCCCACAGTGTGGTATTTATTCTGTCCCCATTGCTCAGCCAGTAGCTCCTTGAGGACAGGGTGGGACTGTCACTTTTACTCTAGGATACCAGCTTCAAACCAGCGCTGGCACCCAGCAGCTCAACACGGGTTTTTAGAAAGAACAAGCTCTAAGGATGAGCCCCAGGGCGTAGCACGTCCTCTATGCAGTGGGGACCCAGCACACCCTGTCTCCGTCAGGAGGAACCAGGCGGCTTTCCTGGAGGGTGACAATAGCATCTTCTTTAAAAGTCAGAGATATCAGATACTTCTCGGAGGCAGCACTTGCCTGGCCTCAGGTCTCATGAAGGGGACAGGACCCTGGGGAGGGGGGCTATAATCCCTTAGGGGTGGTAGCCTTGGAGGGCAGAGCTGGCCTTACTCACTCTCCACGTAGAACACGCCCACTTTGTCCGAGTCTGACACGGAGATGTAGAGAACCATCTCATATCCAGCAGGCAGGTGGTCAGGACCCTTGGTTCTCAGGACCATCTGGGACATGTCCTTGAGGTCTGGGGACAGTGACACGGGAAGGTTAGCAGGAAGGCACAGCTGCAGGGGTGCCTTCCGCTTTTATAATCAGGAAAAGGACAAGGTCACACATGTGTATTATGGAAACCATAAAAAAAAAAAAGCCAGGTGCAATGGTGCACATCTGTAATCTGAGCATTCTGGAGGCTGAGGCAGGAGGATTGCAAGTTTGAGCCCAGCCTGGGCTACTTCGCAAGATCTTATCTCAAACTAAAAAATAAGAAATGGGCTGGGGATGTAGCTCAGTGTGAAGGCATGGAGTTCTATTCCCAGCACTGGAAAAAAAAAAAGCATGGAGCAGGGAAAGACTGGTCACCTCTAACACCAGAGATAACCTCTTGTTAACACTTTGGGAATTTCCTTCCGTTCCTTTTCTGTGTGTGTGTGTGTTTAAAAAAAACATGGTTTGAGTTGGACTATATTTACAGTTTTGTCTTCTGTGAGCTCAAGTGAATATTTGAGGCCGTCACCTCCAGGAGGCCCAAATCCCCACCCACCTCACCCTGCCTAGAACAGGAGTGATGTTTCCCTTGCCCCTGACCCCAGGGTGGCCCTGCGGGGACCTTGCTTGCTGTAGACCTTCTGGTCACTGCAGTCCTCCTTGGGCAGCCAGGGTGTATCTCGGTCACAGTTCACCAGCAGGATGGCTCCCTGGCCCTTGGGGCCCCAGGTCCACGATGCCTGCAGTGGCAGGAAGAGAGGTTAGTGCCCTCTTTGCTCTCCCAGCAGACCTTGAGAGACACTGGAGAGGCCGCCCAGGACGCAGGTAAAGAGAAGCCACCACACGGTGGGCAGCAGCTGTGACCAGGCAGGCAAGAAGCCTGAGCCAGGTTTGAGCGGGGTGGTGAACAGGTAGGTCAAGCATGCCAGGCGACCTCCGCCCTGAGTGGAGGAGAGGCAGGAAGCCGAGGCAGAGGAACAAGCAGATGGATATTCTGGGAGAGGCCCTGAGGTCCCTTAAGATGGTGGTTACCAACATTTTTGGCACTGGGGAGCAGTTTTATGGAAGACAATTTTCCATGGACTGGTACATTTTTTATTGTTGTTGTTTCTTCTTTTAATCATTAGTATGTTTGTGATACATAGTAAGTATATTCCCCAGTGTTACATAATTACACCCCTTAGCTCCACCCCAGACCACCAAGTTTCAGGTTCTCATAAGGAGTGTGCAAGCTAGGTCTTCCGCACACATGTGTAGCTCAGTAGGGTTCGAGCTCCTATGAGAATCTAAGGCCGCTGCTGATCTGACAGGGGGCGGGACTCAGGCCCTGATGCAAGCTGTAAAGGCAGATGACACTTCTGCCGCTCACCTGCTGTGTGGCCTGCTCTGCAGCTGGGTTCTTACTGGTCCATGGCCCAGGGCCTGGGAACTCCTCCTGGTTTCTCCTACAGCCCAGGCACGAGGAGAACTGACTCCAACTCATCTGATCATGTTGCTCCCCTGCATTAAACCCTGACTCTTAACTCATCATTTTGGCCTGGAAGGCTTTTTGAAACCTGCTTCTTCCTCCATCTGCCTCCTCTACCTGGTCCCTGGTTTGCTCAGCTCCACCCCCACTGGCCACCTTCCCGCTTACAGATGCCCATCTCCTGGGCCTTTGCTCTCACTGGCCCCTCCACCTGGACCACTGTCCTTTTTCTTTGGCCAGCTCTACCCTCTTTCAGTCTCAGCACAATTGGGCCTTCTCCCAGGAAGCCTTTTGGATCCCCAGACCACAACAGCGTCCCTGGGTCCACACATGGCACTGTACAGGCTTTTGGAGAGCACTTAGGATGATTGAGAAGACACAGACTCCCATGCCATTCTTCCTGGAACATGAGTCTCCCCTTGGACAATGGGTTCCCCAAGGGCAGGTGCTGGGTTTTTCCTGTTCTTTGTGCAGTCCCTAGGCCTGACCTAGTCCTGATATATCAAAGATGCTCAATGAATAGCTATGGGATCAGAAAAGAAAATGTGAGCACGTCACAGACCCAGGTGCACAGACTGTCAGTTCAAGGTTATAGAGGTTGTGTGGTGTGGCCAGGATTGCTCAGACCCTTGGAGAGGCCACAGCCTTCTTCCTGGGGCCGCAGAGCCTCTGTGGTGTCCACTGCCATGGGGCTGAGCCATGGAGACTGAGTGTATAGGAGCCCAGCTATGGAGCTGGAAGAAGGGGCTCCCAGGGGGCCTGATGCCCCTGCCTGACCTGCAGAGAGTTGGTTTTTTGCTGGGCTGTACTCATTTTGTGTGTGTGTGTGTGTGTTTGTGTGTGTGTGTGTGTGTGTGTGTGTGTATGTGTGTGTGTGTGTGTTGCCAGAGATGGAAGCCTGGGCCTTATGCATGCCAGGCAACTTCTCTACTACTGAGCCATCCTGTGAGGCCTTGTTTTACTTTTTAATAAAATATTGATCTAGCTGGAGGTGCAGGTTAGCGGTAGAGTGCCTGCCTAGCACGCATGAAGCCCTGGGTTTCATCCTTAGCACTAAAAAAGCATTCAAGTCTTCATAATGAACCCAGGTTTCAGATTGTTTGCATAAACATCACATATGCCTATGAAAAAATATAAATGATATAAAAGGACAGAAAACTAAAAACTGTCAGAAGCAATAGCCTGGGGCTGGGGATATAGCTCAGTAGCACAAGTGCCTGCCTGGCAAGCGCAAGGTTCTGAGTTCGATTCCCAGTACCAAAAAAAAAAAAAAAAAAAAGAAGCAATAGCCTGGAGACTATATATATATATAAAAACCAATGAAGCTCAAAAACTAGACTGAGAGAAAAGTACAAACCTGAATGAGAAAATCAGCATGGTACTGGCAAAAAACAGATCTGAGGATCAGTGGAACACATTAGAAGATGCAGGCACAACTACAAATACACTCAGCCACCTTATCTTTGACAAAGGGGCCAAACATGTTCACTGGAAGAAAGATAGCCTCTTTAATAAATGGTGCTGGGAAAACTGGCTTTCCACATGCTGAAGACTACAATTAGACCCATATCCATCACCATGCACTAAACTAAGGTCAAAATGCATCAAAGATCTAGATATTAAAACAGAAACACTAAATCTACTGGGAGAGAAAGTACATAGAAATCTTGAAGACATAGGGGTAGGCAGAGAGTTCATGAACAAAAAGCAAACTGCGCGGGAAATACTTCAAAGAATCAACAACTGGGATCTCATCCTGTTAAAAAGGTTTTGCACATCAAAAGAAATCACCAACAGAGTGAAAAGAAATAGGGAACAAATTTTAGTCAACTGTCCCTCAGGCAAAGGACTTCTATCTAGAACACATAAGGAGTTAAAAAAAATTAGGCCTCCCCAAATTCAAAGACTCAATCCAAAAATGGACATCTGAGATTAATATACATTTTTCAGATGAAGAAATACAAATGGAAAATAAATATATGAAAAAATGTTCAACTTCATTGGTCATTCGAGAAAAGCAAATTAAAACAACACTGAGATTCCATCTCACCCCAGGAAGAATGGCTGCCATCAAGAAATCAACCAATAACAAATGCCGGAGGGGCTGTGGAGAAAAAGGAACCCTTCTCCACTGTTGATGGGGGTGTAGACTGGCACAACTACTATGGAAATCAGTGTGGAGATTCCTCAAAAAACTAGGATTGGAGGTCCCATTTGACCCAGCTATTCCCCTCCTGGGTATCTTCCCAGAATAATTGAAAACATCATGCCACAGTGATATATGTGCGCCTATGTTTATAGCAGCACAATTTGTAATAGCTAAATCTTGGAAACAACCCAAATGCCCATCAACCAAGGAATGGATACAAAAGATGCGGTATTTTTATACAATGGACTACTACTCAGCTGTAAAGAAAGATGAACTTGAGGCTTTTACAAGTAAATAGGTGCAGCTGGAGACCATACTCATAACTGATATAAATTAGACTCACTGTGTAAACATCGTATTATCTCCCTAGTGTAAGAAACTGAAAGAGTAAATAAGATCCAAAAGATACAATAGATATTGTGAAAGGGAAAGAAACTGCTCAAAAGGAAAGAACAACAGGGATAGGGGAAAGGAGAAAAGAAGTAAGGTATATATATATACACACACAAGATAACTAAGATAATTGCAATACTATTTTCTATTAGTTTGTTGAAAGGAAGTTAGTGCTTATGCTGTTTGATCAATTTTGCATGCCTATATCTTGTCATCTGAGCAACTGCTTTGAAGATAATGATATGCAATGTAATAACCACTGTTAATTTCCTATCATCTTGTTTTGAAATTCTGTATCATTTTAATTGTCTTTTTCTCTCTTTAAAATTAAAGAAAAACCTGAACGAGGTGGGAAGCACCATGCTAGTTGCACAAATTAAAAACACACACCCATCACGTCCCACGTTTCCCAAGGACCGTAAGAACAGAAAGAGAGGCACTGACCTGTTAAATGTTCCTTCGCGGGGAGCAGGATGGGGATGGGGATTGCAAGATGAAAGACAGTAAGTAGAGGGAAGGGAACAGATGAAGGAATGACCAAGTAGCAACAGCAGCAGGACTGCAGGCACAGGCAGAGACAGCGTGACTAATGCGACCCTCTGCCCCTCTGATTCAAAACTAAAAAAGGGCAAACATTTAAGAACAAATGCTTCTGCAGCACAACCTCTGCTGCAGACACATTTACTCTTTTCAATGGTTCAACCAAGTGGGTTGGGTAAACAACCTGCTCTGCAGCTGACCCCAGGAGGAGCCGGGGCTCCTGATGCGCTGTGGGTCTGGGGCCCTGGTCTTTGGCCCTGTGAGACTGAGCTGTCGGCTTGGCAGGAGTCCATGGCTGCTGCAGGTGCAGGCCCAGGCTCTGCTCCCTGGAATCCCCTCCTCCCCCTCCCCACAGGTGGCATCCACCCCCATGGCTCGGTACCTTGTTTGGGTTGTTTTTCTCCACCACGCCGTCCCGGTCTGCATCCACATCCAAGGAAATCTCTGGGGACCAAAGACACGGGTGAGTGGCTGATCCTACCAGACAGGGTAGCCTGGACAGAGGGGAGCCCCATGGGACACGAGGGTGCAGCTTACCCATTCGTTCAGAGAGGGAGCACCTCACCGAGATCGCCTTCTCCAGCTCCTAGTCTAACTTAGCACCCTCTACCCGCCCAGGGAACTCAGAGACGCTGTGTACCTGGCCGCTTCCAGCTTATGAGGTGCTATTGGATAGTCAGGGTCCCCCCAGTCCTGGGTGGGGGTGAAGGCTGATCCTCACTCACATCTGGGAGCTTCAGTTGGGAGATGTGGTCACATGCCCAAGGCCACCCACGTGGCTTTAGCAGCACCGGGGTACACACCGCAGTTATCTACTTTGCTTATATTTTGAAAATGCACGTGTGTCTGTGTGCACATGTCGATCTTTTTCTCTTCCTCTCCCCAAACTTCTAGTAGTCTTGCCCCAGCTACAAGGATGGAGGATTTTCCTCTGGGTGGGAAACAGGATCTTCAACTCCACTGGATTTGAGGTGTCTATGATCCAGCGCTCCAGATAGATGATCCCAGAAAACGGTCCTGCTTATCCCTTTTCCCAGGGAAGGGACTGAGCATTCCTGGGTCTACCCTGGAACAGGCTTCAAGGAGAGTGTGGTGCAGTGAAAAGACCCCTCAGACCGTGTTGGGTTGGACCCCTGGTTCTCTGTTACAAGCTGTGTGGCTTTTGGCAGGTTAGACAACCTCTCTGAGCCCCAATTTTCTCACTTTTAACCCAGGGCCTTTCCAGTTATAGCAGCTGCGAGAACGGCAACGGCAGGCCCTACATTTTGAACGAGGTGACTCCTGGTTGTGGGGACCGCCCAGTGTGGTAGGACGTTTAGCAACATCCTGGCCTCTGCCCTCAAGATGGCAATCACACCTCCCATTTGTGACAACCAAACATGGTTGTCACATTGCAGGTGTCACTTCCAGATATTGTCAAAAGGCCTCAGGAGACAATGTCACCCTGAGTGTTGGGGGCGGGGCGGCTAGGAGTGGCACCAGGGTGAGATGTGCTGGTGCCGGTGCTGCACACAGGGTTTGGCTCATCCAAATACAGCTTGGAACATGGTGGGAGTGGGTGGGAAGGAACACACCCTGCTCTGTCCCCCAGCAGTCACCCTCTGCCTGACGGGGTGGGAGGAGGGTCTTGCACAGGAGGGGCCCTGATGTCACCTTTCCCATGAGGCACAGGGCCCCCTGCAAGCCCAAGGACCCCATTCAAGTCCTCCTTTGGCCGGAGCCTGGTTCCTTCCTGACCCTGGCTGGCCCTTCTGGGTGTAGGAGATGGCAGAGGGTGGCCCATGAGGTCCTTGGAAGCGGCACCTGCAGCGTCCAGCTGTCCCACTCCTCCTGCCGATGGCACTCATGCAGCCCTTCACTGGGGGGCACGTGCTGTGGCCAGGCACCGGCACTGGAGCCCACAGTCCTGGGAGGTAAAGGGCATCTCGGTCGGTTCACAGGTGAGCAGGCCCGGTCTTGGGGCAAACTGGGCCGATAACCTGGAAGGCTGGTGCCAGGCAAAGATGCCAGGGGACAGCAGGGAAGGCGGTGTCACCAGCTGCTGCTGACCTCTATGACCTTTCAGCGGGTCCCAGCCCTCTCCCTCATGGGGGTCCCAGCTCCCCCTACCCCCACCTGCAGGGCACTGTCCCTCAACCATGTTCCTTTCAGTAGCTCCTGGGGATAAGCTATCACCCACCCACTCCCTCCCTGCGGATGAGGAAGCCGAGGCGAACAGCAGGAAAGAAGTGATCCCAAAGTCAGAGCCAGGCTTCCCATCGGACCTCCAGATCGCTGTTCTTCCTGTCCCTCCACAGGTCCACGCTGACCTCTGGCTGGCCCAGGCCGACCCCCTACATGGGCCAACTTCACCTTCAAACATCCACGGTGGCTCCCCTGAAGGTCACTGCGAGAGGCGGCCACATCCCACCCTGGGAGCCCCGTGACTTTTGTCCCTAGACTGCCCCGCAACACCGAAGCTCATGGTGCGTCCGTTCAAGCAGTGGCCTCCACAGAGGGACCACAAAGCACTTTCTACTGCTCTATTGCAGGAGTTTCCTAGAGCAAAAAGTTTTATTAATGCAATATTTTCACAGAGTGCAAAAAAAAAATTCAAGTCAAATGCCCAGCTGTTTCTAAAGGAAAGCAGCTGCCCCTGCCCGGCCTATCTTCTTCGCTTCCTAATACTAAATAATACGCTGCTTGCTCTTTCCTGGTTGAATAAGTTCAGACGCAGGGCTCCCTGGCTTCCTCTTGTGAAATTGGGGCATTTCGAAACCAGGCCCCCTTATTGTCCCCTCCCAGCTCCCACAGCAATTCTTAATTTCTCTCTCCATCCCGTGACCTGGCCCCAAGTCACCTGAAATGTCCTCCTCCGCCCTCTGCCCTCGCTCCGAGCCCCCCGCAAGGCTTCCTCCTGTCTGTTTGGATTCCACTGGGGTGATGCATGGAGGGGCGGCAGGCAGGGCTGGCACCACTTGCCCAGGGCCCTGTCCTCCTGGGATGGCACTGCTGTCCCCAGGGGAGGAGGGAGAGGACACCTGTTTCAGGGCCTCTGGGTCCCAGACATTTCCCAGAGGCTCTGGATCCTACCTCAGCTCCCCGGAATAGCTCCAAGGTGTCAGGTGGCGCCAGGGTGTGGGGCGGGCTAAGGCGAAATGTCACCAGGATTGGGTTCAAGGCAGTCTGCCCTGAGAATCAAGACCCTGCGGGCTCGGCAGGCTGCCAGCCCACGGGCAGTGGCAGGCTGCTGGTCTGCCCGCCCTACCCAGCTGCTTGGGATGCGGCAGGGAGGAAGGGTAATGATTCCTCTCCAAACCCAGACAATCACGCGGCTCCGGGAGGGGGCTCAGGGATGAGCTCCCCAGGCCAGTGCTAAGGTTCCTGAATCCTGTGTGCATGCGTGCGTGCATGCGTGCGTGCGTGCTTGCGTGCGCGCGCACGGGCATGCACTGATCCCACTGCCTGACCCCAGCCAGGTGTGTGGGGTCCCTTCCTCCCACCCCACCTTTCTCCCCTGCCACTGTCCCCAGAACAGGGGCTCTGCAAATGAGCCTTAATGGGAGCCTTCAGTGTCCCCAGAGATGAATTAGTTCAAACCCTTCATTCTAGGGGCTGGGGATTTAGCTCAGGGGCACAGCGCCTTCCTGGCAAGCACGAGGCCGTGAGTTTGATTCCCGGTACCGGAAACACACCCCATCTCAAAAAAAAAAAAACTGCTCAGAAAAAGTGAGGCCTGGAGCGGGTGGGCTACTTTCAAGGTCACACAGCAAGTCCCTGCAGGACCGGGACCAAGAGGGGACCTGATTTGGGCACGCCATAGGTTTGTTCCCAAACCCCTAGAAGTGGGCAGTGGAATGGTAAGTTTCTTGCTCTCCACCTGGGCAGAGAGTAAGTGTGGCTCCCCAGAGAGGAAGGGAGAAGACGGCATCCACTCTGCGCCCCTGCCACAGGCCTCTGCACACCCCAGCCCACTGAGTGCTCGGAAGCACAGCGCAGGAATGCTCTGTGAGTCCCGGACGAGGAAACCGAGGCTCAGGAGGGTGACGTCACTTGTCGGCGATTGCAGTGTGGCTGGAGAGGGCAGGGTCAGGATTTATTTCTGTCTACCTGAAGCCACGGCTTTTTCCGCTCAGTGTGTGCAGACCAGACTCTGGTGAGAAGGATTCAGTGAAGAATTTTATTTTTTTGGCTTTTTGAGACAGGGTCTCGCTATGCAGTTCAGGCTGGCCTTGAGCTCACTTTATAGCCCAGGATGGTGTCGAACTTGCAAGGATCCTCCTGCCTCAGCCTCCTGAGTGCTGGGATTACAGGCATGCGCCACCACTCCCGGCCCTCAGTTAAAAATTTACAGAGTGGGTCTCACCCTCTGGGGACACTTAGAATGTCCTTGCCACTGAGCGCTGCTCCTGGACGATTACCCAGGATGTGGGGCCCAAGGGTTCCTGGGGTGAACGGCTGAGGGAACAGAAGGCTTGAGGCTCGTGGGCAGATAGACCAGTGGTTCCCATGGGACCCTTGCTATTCCCCAGGACCCCTGGCAGCATGGAAAGCATGAATTCAATGGGGTGAGTGGTATTTTCTGAATGTAAATGAGTGTCATGTATCCTGAGAGGCTGTCCTGCTTACTTTTTAGGTGTTCAAATGATGGTGATAGTTGATGGCCAATTGTTTTAATTTTTTTTTTTTGCCATGCACCAAAGTTCTCCCTCTCCTCCTCCCTGTCTTTCTCTTTTTGGGGCAGCCGAGAGGGACATCTTACTGGCCCATAGGAACTAAATATCTGCAACCTGTGACAGTTAAATAAATGCTTAGTGACAGCAACTCAGAACCTTGAGGACAAAGGTGGGCCTTTGTCTCGGGCACACGTGGCACTTTTGGGACTGAGCACTGTGCCACCCTGAGCGGCGCCCCCTGCCTACTCCCTTCCATCTAGTGCATGGGACACCCAGCCGTGCTCCTCCTGGGCTCCTTTGTGCCACCTCTCCTAAGCCCGCCTTGCTTTGGGACGACTTCCTGGCACAGAGAGCCGGAATCATGTTCACTTGATAGGCTCTGGCCTCTGCCCTTCCTGCCTTTGTCCTCAGGTGTCCGTCTGTGGGGCTGAGTTTCCATGGGGACGGTCACCTGAGACAGCCGGGGGGGGGTATGTGTGCATGTGAGGTTCACTCACGTGCCAGGGCTCAGCACGATCAGGGGAGTCTTCGGTTACCATTTCCTGAGCCCTCCGAAGTCATCCCAGGGTCCCCCACCTCAAGACTGGGCACCCCTCAGTGCAGGCACAGGAGTGAGCTGACCAGCAACCAAGCCCCCTGGGAAGGAGCTGAGAAGCACACAAGCACTGCTGTTCAGGTTGTTTTGGGGCACAGGGAGGGTGGGAGGGGAGCTTGCCTCGGGAGGCCCCGAGAGCCCAGAATGTGAGACATAGCCACACAACTTGGTGGCCCACCAGCTGCCTCCTAGGTGTGTAGCCTCAGGCAACTTTTTGTTTGCTTGCTTTGTTTTTCTGAGCCTTGGTTTTCCCATCTGTAAAATGGGGATAATAATGGCCTTTATCTTTGGCTTCGTTGTGAACATAGATGGAAACCATGGCTGTAAGACATGTAGCGTTGGAGTGTGGCACACTGGAGGTGCCCAATAAATATTCAGTGTTTATCATTCTCCTCCTTCTGCACCCAGCACGGCCCCAGACACAGTAGAGGCACACGGAACGTGAGACACTGTTAGGGTTTCTAAGAAACCCTCAGCACACAGCTGGTGCTCAATACCTGCGAGTTCCCGTCCCCTGCCACGTGGCAGCTATCTATGTTAAACCAAGGCTGGACAGACAAAGTGACCCTCTGAAATGCCCTCTGGCTGAAATGCTTGGAAAAGAAAATAAGAGTAACTCCTTGACTGCAATACAGTTGAGCGATTGAAAGTTCAGAAGGTCACACCCCTGGGTGCTGTTGGGCCTGCTGGGCTCCCTGGCATGCTGGCGTGGCACCCAGGACGGGGCAGTGGACTGCGGTGCAAAGAACCCAGAATCATCCTGAGTGCTGGACTCAACCTGCCAGTGGGTTGCTGTGTGACTTTGAATGCCTTTGCTAACCTCTCTGGGCCTCACCATCCCTGTGGGCCGAATGAAGGGCTTGGATGAGGTGAGCTAGGGACCAGGGCCCCATCTCTGTATCCAGGCCTGGGTGTGGGGAGGGGAAGGAGGGAGGAGCCGGGATTACCTAGGATCAGGCTGCAGGGGCGAGGCGGGGAGCGACAGGCTTTCCTGTTTCTCCACGGCCTGCGGAACCAGTGGTGGGGCCCAGACCCTGGGTGAGTACTTGGCAGACTAGAGCAGGGCTCTTCCTGCAGGTGGAAGGGCCAGGGGCTCGTGTGGCCCCTGCCTAGGCCTGCACTACCAGAGGCACCTCCAGGTCTGCTGTGCTGAACAGACCCCGATGCTCCGCACTGGGTGGCAGTGCCAGCCCCAGGGAGTGAAGGTACCCACGCACAGCTGTGCCAACTCACCAATGGCCGTGAGGAAGAGTCCAGCCTGGTCGATGGGGCCGCTGTCCTCTTCCTCGTAGTAGTTGACGGTGACCTTGGGGGGACAGAGCAGGGCAGAGATGAGAGGGGTACCCGTCCCCCTCCTCCAGACGCCCGGATCCTCCCCTCCAGGAAGCTCCCCTGGGTTGTCTCCTGAGGCTGCTTCTCCGGACGACCAAGCTGGATGGCAGATGCCCCACCTCTCAGAGCGCAGCCAGGATGCTGTGTGCCGCCTGTGCCCCCGAGCACTCTCCGCTGCCCTGAAGGGGGCTCCATCCCGCTAAGCCCCACATCTGCCTCGAGTGCTCCGCTCCCAGGGGACAGGGCCGAGGCTGTTTTCTTTGGGTGCAGTCCAGTCATCACCGCCAAGGAGCAGGGAGCAAGCAGTGTTGGTCCCGGCTTCCCCATGGGGCAATCGCTTCGCCCCTTGAGTGCTCCGCACCCCCTTTTGCAGACAGTGAGACCCAGGGTGCTGGGGCTGAATCCCCAAGAATTCTATGGCTCTGAGCGTCCACGCTTCCCCTTCCCATCCCTCGCCATCCACGCTTTGACCCAAGAAAGCCATCACTCCCGGTCCAACACAGCAGCTGCTGGCCCGGGCCACCGAGCTCCTGAGATGTGACTAATACCCTCCGGGACTTGTGTGGGTGTGAATTTAGTTTATGTACACAAAAAGAATATAAACTATCTTATTATTTTTTAAAAATTTAAAACATATTAAAATGATAACTTGATGTATGGGCTTAAGTAGAATATATTAGGAAAATTCACCTCTTTGTGTGTGTACATAGTACTGAGGGTTGAACCCAGGGTCTTTGCACTGAGCTGCACTCCAGCCCTTTTTATTTTTCATTTTGAGACAGGGTCTCACTAAGTCCTTGGGGCTGGGGTCAAAGTTGTGACCCTCCTGCCTCAGCCTCCTAGAGGGCTGGGGTTACAGGTGTATTCCATTTTGCCTAGCCAGTTTCACCTTTTTCTTTTCTGATGTTATTAGAAAACTGGAAAAAAAAAAAAAAAAAAAAAAAGAAAAAAACACTCAGCTCTCATTCTAGGACAGGGCCGTTCTATTCTGCTCCTATCCCAGCGTGGCCCTGGGATCCCGCCGTCCAGGAGCAGGACTTCCCTGCCGCGGTACCTTGTCGCTGCTGGCCTCGGTGCTTGCCTGGCTCATGGTGAGCCTCAGCGTGGTGCTGGGCGAGAGGGCCCAGCGCTGTTTGCCGTTGGTGGCCACCTCCTCAGCCTCCCCGTCACGCACCACCTCCACCTGCACGTGCTCGGAGTGCTTCAGGCTGAAGGTTGTGGCCCCGGCTGGGGCCGCGCTGCAGGGAGACAGGACAGAGGGTCAGGGGAGCCCCGGGGTAGGTGGAACATGGGGAGTCAGGAGACTTTTGGAGGGGCAAGAAGGACAAGGCTCAAGGGCCTCCTGGGTCATCTTGTCCTGGGGACAAAGGACCTAGCATGGTAGTAGTAGAGCACACTCGCCAAGGGCACAGGTTCCTGGGCCAGTCTTCCCCTACTGAGTCAGAGTTTTTCAGCGTAGGCTGAGAGACATGAATTCTTCACTGTTTTTGAGGTGCTGGGACTAGAGCCTAGGGCCTCATGCATGGCAGGCAAATGCTCTGCCACTGAGCTCCATCCCCAGCCCCAGGGCCTGAGTTCTGAATGAAGATCCTCCACCTCTGGTCACCGGCTGCTTCTGCAACCCACTTTGGGAGCGCATGGGGACTGCAGGGTTGGATGGCTGGGACCCACACAGAGGCACAAATTTGCTCCAGCAACAGACAGAACCCCAAGGGTGCCCCCTCACTGAGTGTCGCTGAGCAAGGGGCTGAGTTCTCACAAGGATGGAGCCTGGAACTCCGGTCCTCAGAGGCAGGGTGGGCGTCTCTGTCGCAGGATCCCCTCCGCCCGCCATGATGTTCTTAGCCTGGATTCTGCATTCCTTGGGGCTTAGGATGGTTTTCCACTGATAGAGAATACTCTGGGGATCCTGAAAAGCACCAGACTTCAAGGTGGAGAATTTAGGGGCTCCATGGGGTTGCTATGGGCTGAGTGTTGGTGATCCCCAAATCCACCTGTTGCAGCCTTAGTCCCAGTCTGGTGGTGTTGGGAGATGGGGATTTCAGGAGGTGATTAAGGTCGCAGGAAATCACCGGGTGAGGTTCTAGCCCAATAGGACTGGTGACTTCCTCAGGAGTGTGCTCTCTCTCTCTCTCTCTCTCTCTCTCTCTGTCTCCCCCCACACACTCCTGCACACTGACGGAAGGTCCCCAGTGACAAGGGGGCCACCTGTGAGCAAGGCAGGTGTCCCTCTTCAGCATGTGCTTCCAGTCTCCAGAACTGTGAGAAAATCCACAGCCTGTGGTGTTTGCTTTCGGTCACCCGAGGTGACTAAGACGCTGGCTTCAGAGGAGGTGATAGGGACCTGGGGGGAGGGGAGGGCGCCAAGGGCTGACAGTTTTGCTAAATTCAGTGCTTGGTTTGAGGGCTCCCAAAGGCCTCAGAGGGCTCAGAGGGCTCAGAGGGATCTGGGAGGGATTCTTGTGGGATTTGTGACTCAGACACTGGCCCGGGGGTGAATCTGTCATCTGGCTTCCAGAATCTTGGCTCTGATGGGCTTCAGAACAGCAGGGATGCTCTCTGAACCTTCAGGGTGCATTATGAAGGCTGCACACGTGCAGATCCTGACCCTGGAGAGTCTGCCTGGGAAGCCGAGGTAAGGCAGGGACTAGTGGCCATGTGACCAGGACAGGTTTGTCTGGTCTTTGAGGTTAGCCATGGTGGGGCCCAAGAATCTGCCTGCTCTCCTGTTTCCAGGAACTGTTGATGCTGCTAGTGGAAGGGTCACACTTTGAGAGGCCTTGGTCTGGATGTTCAGCAGTGCGGTCCAGTGGTTAGAGCCCTGGGGTGGCCAGGGCTGTAGGTATCAGTTGGTCACAGCTGCTGGGCAGCATCTTTCTGACCCTGGCCACAGTCTGGGGCTGAGGACGTAGCTCAGAGGTACAGCGCTTGCCGAGCACACACGAGGCCCTTGGTTCCATCCCTACCACCACAAGGGAAAAATAATGACACATAAAAAGCAGGACAATGCAGGGGCCACTGGCTGAGAGCCTGGTTCTGGGCACCGGAAGAGACACTGAGCAGGGCCCAGCAGCCCATTCCTGCCTGGTATTGGCAGAAGAGCTCAAAACAGAAGCTCCACTCCATTCTGTCCTTGTCTCCCTGCCCCCTTCCAAAGTCCTCATCCCTAGGGGACACTGGGCTGAGCAGAGGCTGGATGCTCCTTGGCCATGGCCAACTGCCCCCAATCACCCCATTAGTAGCAGAGGCACATCCAGGCAAAAGTCCTGGAGCTGGGGGCCAGGTGTGGGGGAACTAGGTCTGAGCCCTGCTTCGCCGTGGCCTGGCTGAGGGGTCTTGAATCAGGGGTTGGGGGAAGCTCTGCGGAGCACTGGGCCTCTCTGCTGGATCCCCGCCCGCCTATAAGGAGCCACCATTGCTTCGCATTCTGAGCTTCTGCACACAGTTCTGTTGGTGCTTTACAATCTCACACAAAGGGATGAGTCCTTAGTACCCCGCCTTGGTTACTATGCTGATGCTTCCTGCCTGCCTTCATTCCTCTGGGCCAGAGAGAAACCGGAGCAGGCCCCAGAGGGTCCGGGGCCTTAGCAGCCGGCCACATCAGAGCCCCGGAGTCCCACGCCCTCCTACAACCCAGCGCAGGCCCTGCTCTGAGCTGAGCCGAGCAAACAGCTATTCTTGGAGCAGTGGCCCTGGCAGAAGCAACAAAGGTGCCATTGTCCCCGGAAGATCCTGTTGGCTGCCTCCCTCCCCAGGAAGCTCCTCTCGGATGGGCGCCCCTGCAGCAAGCCGAGAGCAGCTGTGGCCCCTGGGGGCCGCAGGGAGGCCGGGGCAGCACGGAGGAAAGGAGCGGGGCCAGAGAGAGGTAGACAGAACAGACGGCGGTCCCTGCACAACATCCACACCGCGGCCCGGCCCTGGGAGCTGGCCCCGCTCTGTGCGTGCTTTGGGAATAAACGCACGAGTGAGCCCGACCCTCTTGGCTTTCCAAGCTATGCTACCACAGTGATTCTTAAAAAGGTAGAAATCAGGTCAGAAATAACTCTTCAGCCTGGAGCTCAGCCGGAAGCGCTTTTCCCGACCGTCCAGCCTTGTTTTCTGCCACTCCTGCCACCCACTAAAGTCCCTGCATGGCTCCGTTTGGAACCTGCCGCTCCTTCCACCGGAGAGGCTTTTCCCTGACCGTGCCGCTTTTCCCGGCTCATGCGCACTTCTCCCCAAGACCCAACTCCGCGGGTTCGCGCCCGTGTTTACTTTCCTCTGGGGCAGTTGGCTCCTTCCTTGCTTAGTTTTGGTATCTGATGGACAGCAAGCACAGGAAGGGGCGGGAGGAAGGGCTGTAAGGGGAAGCCTTGCTCACTCCGTCCTTCTTCTTTTTTTTTTGGTACCGGGAATCAAACTCAGGACCCTGCGCTTGCCAGACAGGCGCTTGTGCCGCTGAGCTATATCCCCGGCCCTTGCTCACTCAGTCCCCATGCTACGGCCGCCTAGGACCCGCCAGGCACTGTTCTAGGTGGCGGGCCAACAGGTGAAAAAGTTACCATTCCCCAGGCCCACAGAGCATGTATTCTAGTGAGAGAAGACTTTCAGGAAATCACACAAGGACATGTGTGAATTGAGCTGAAGGAGACAGTCCTTTAGGAAGTGCCATTTGAGCTGGGGTCTAAGTTTTAAAGAATTAAGGGGGATGGGAAGCGGGGTGTAAGGGAGGGCAATGGAAGATGAATAGGATTCAAATATACACAGGTGTAAAAGTGCCACAGTGGAGCCCAATACTTCATAAAATTAACATGCACTATGTGTATATTGAAAAGAATGAATGAAGCCAGAAGACCTCGCATTTAAATGCACACAAGGGCCTGTCGAAAGACAGGTTGCTGGGGCCATGCCCGCAGTTCTGACTCACGTCTGGGTGGAGCCCGGGAAACCACATTTCTAACAATCTGATGCTGCGGATGCTGCTGGCGCCCGGAGCACCGTTTGAGAACCACCGAACTGGACAGAGGGAGGAGGTTTCCAAGCAACAGGGCAGCCGGGGTGATGGGCAAGGTGGGCACAGTCTGGCACACTGGCTGATTTGTGAGCGAGGGGCAGGGGCACGGAGGGAGAAGAGGTGGCACAGATCTCGTGGGAGCCAGGAAGTCCCTGCAGGCCGCGGAGCAGAGCAGGTGTGTCACTGACGCTGCAGACCGCTCGCCCAGCGTGCATGGGGGCAGGGCTGCAGAAGAGGGAATAGAGTAGTGGTGGCGAACCGATGGCACATGTGCTGTAGCCGGCTGTTTGTTATCATGGTAAGTGCTAAAGGTTCGCCATCACTGGAAGAGAGGGACCAGTGAGCAGTGACTGCAGGTGCCCAGGTGGGCAATGGCGGCAGCTTGGGACTGGATGGTGGCCATGGAAACAGAAATGGCCAGGAGGCTAGTGTCAAGCAAAGGATACCTGCCAAGCCCCTCTGGTCTTCGCTCGTCAGTGGGGAAGGTCACTGGCTTGGCTCCTTGGGGCTGGGCAGCGGGACACACCTGCTCCTGGTTGGCGCTGGCTCTCTCGGCTGTTCCACCTGGCTGGACCTCATTAACACCAGCCGGGGCCCATCCCTGGGGTGAGCCCAGCTCCTGGCAGCCTGGACGTGACAGCCTGGCCTTGGGGCTTTGGAGGAGTTGGCTGGGGAGTTGTGGGTGCCAGCCTGGCACGCCAACCATGGCGAGCACCCTCAAGAACAGTGGAGGGGGGAGGCAGGGCCCGGGCTGGGGAGATCACAGTCCAGGCCTCACCTCTGGCGCTCAGTACGGTGGCGGCCAGAGCCCTGAGGCTGGGCATGGATTGGCGAGGCACAGCCTGCGTCTGCCTGCTGCCGGCCCCCTTCTGCGCTGGTAGCCGCAGCAGCCTCTCTGAGCTCCAGCCTTCCTCTCCAGGCCGCTGAAACATCGCTCTTTCTACAGCCACGTGGCCCAGCTTCCTCGCCACCTGTGTCCTCCTCCCCCGGGGCAGTTCTCAGTCTCACTCTGAACCCTGCCCCTCTCTCAAGGCCCAGCTCATTGGCTCCTCTGCGGAAGTCTTCCCTGATGCCATCGGCCAGAACCATCCCAGCCTTCCTCTGCTGGGCCCGTCGGCGAATGACTGAGGTCAGCTACCCTGGACAGGAGCATGGCTTCCCCTGACGGTCAGTGGGCATGCAGGCCAGCTGGGGGTGGGCAGTGGGTGAGCCTCAGGGCCCTCGGGGACACCAGCTATGTTGGGAATATGGGCTTGGCACGCAGGCTGCCAGGTCCTCTCCAGCCTGAAACCGGAGCCCGGGCAGTTCCTGGCAGGGCCAGCCGCTCAGGGTTGAGGACTTTAGGTGTTGTTCTAATTTATGAGGCCACCTGACCTGGGCTCAGTGCCCCACTGCGACATTCTCCCAGGGGCAAGCACTGCTGGCCAGGCTCGGCCACACGCCCTTGACCTTCCCGGGGCCCATCCAGCTGTGTCTATGCCTTGCCACACCCGGCGGGGCCCTAGGCACCAGCCACATCCATTCATGCCTTCACTCCACCTGGAGCCCTTCAAGGCTCAAAGACGAGCGTGTGCAAGGGGTGCGGGGCGCTGACACGCGGCTCCCAGCAAGGGCGGGGCCCGGGCTCCTCCCACCACTCACCAGCTGCGCCATGTTGAACCAGCGCTGCTGTATACCTGCCCCCAACAGGCAGGGGGCAATGATCGTACTACATCACAGCCTTGCTATGAGGTTCAAATGCCTGTAAGTTATAAGTGAGTGTGTGAAGAACATGCAGTGTTAAGACGGCTGCCAGGTTCCTAAGAAGTATTCAGTACGTGTTAGCTGGTACATTAAGTAAATTAATAATAATTCTTAAAAAGACCACCGAGAGCGCCTGGGGCTCAGAGCAGGGCACGCGGGCATAGGGGCAGACCAAGAAGGCTGCTTGGAGGATGTGACATTTGAGCCGAGTCTTGACTGGTTGAACCGGGCACCAGAAGCAGCACGTGCAAAAGCCCTGGGATGGGAATGAGCTTGGTGCCTTCAAGGGCAAGTAGCACCCATCGTGCCAGAATGGGGTGTGTGCGGTGAACAGCTAGGGGATGGACTGGTGAGAGGTGGGGAGGGGAGCCTCTGGCACCCCGAGTGCCCACTGCGGCCAGTTGGACTCAGACCCTCCTGGCCTTGGTCCTAATGATACTTTTAAAAATAGATAAATCCTGCTGGGTGTGGTGGCGCACACCCATAATCCCAGCACTCAGGAGGCTGAGGCAGGAGAATCGCTGTGAGTTTGAGGCCGGCTTGGGCTACAAAGTGAGTTCAAGGCCAGCCTGAACTGCACAGTGAAACCCTGTCTCAAAAAGACATAAAGTATATAAATCCCCAGTACTCACACCAACGGAGAGACAGAGACAGTCTGGGAGGGAATGGAGAAGAATTTAAGTTCTCCAAGCTCTTCCCTAAGGCAGGTGCCTTAGCCCCCGTCTGCCGAGCTTTTCCGGAGCCCTGCTCTAGGAACTCCACCCTGTCCCCTCTCCTGCCTTCTGCCCGAGAGTGCCCTAAGGGGACATGGCCAGTCAGCCTCTGCCTTGGGGAATGCCAGGAAGGGGAAAAGAGCCACCCCTACCCGCCACCTGCTGACATCCACGGGAGCAGCAACTGCCCGCTAAAGGGTCCACGGGGAGAGTGTGCAGGCAGGGTGTCCCACACCAGACCTAGGATAAGTACACTGGGAATGCAGAGGGCATCAGCAGGTCTCTTCCACAACAACCACAAAGTACATTCTCTAGGGAAAGATCCTACTTCCTTCTTCCTGTGCATTGACTCAGAGCTTACTGGAGATTCGTCGTCAGAATGTGGCTAGGTCAGGGCAAATGTCCCTGAAGGGACCTATTTTGCTGGGAGAGGATGGGTGGCCCAGAGTACCCCTTCCTATGGCGGCCTGGATGACCCTTTGCAGGGTGCAAAGTGGCTGACTATTCATCACCATGGCCATGGTCCAGCTTCCACTGGCAAAAGCTCCTGGTTTGTGTTATCCAGTTGACCCGCAGTTGGGTCAGTGGAAGCTCATAGAGGTATAGGGAAGTGTTTGGGGCCACACGGCAAGTGGACAGAAACTCAGTGTGGGTGATCGCAAATCCTGCCTCTCTGCACTGCCCCGCCAGCTTCTTGGGGCCGGGAGGACTGGGCGGGAGGGGAGGGCAGGGCTGCTTGGGGAGGGGTGGGCAGTGGACAGGGCCACCCAGCTCACCCTGCTGGCTTTCGGGCCTCACAGAGGGGAGTGGAGAACAAGAGCCTGAGCCCTGAGTTGGACCCGGACTTGGGTGCCACTGGGCAAATGCTTGGTCTCTCTGAAGCTCGCTTTCCCGGCTACCGAACGGGACGGTCACAGCAGGCTGCAGGCCTGTGGCAGGAGGAAGAGAGATGCTCACAGTGCCTCCTGCTGTCATCATCCCAGCGGGCCCTCTTGTCCCTGCAGGTACCAGAAAAGACACAGCGGCAAGGGCAGCCTTGCTCCTAGAGGAGGCTGCCTTCCCCCAGCCTGCCAGCGGGGTGCAGGGGGAGCGGGGGATGTGCTCCCTTGCGGTAGGGGGTGGGGGACACTGGCACTGCCTGACGATGTTTTTGGTTGTCACAACTGGGGCACTGCTATAGGCATCTGGTGAGCAGAGGCCGGGGGTGCCTCTAAATATCCTACGACATACAGGACTGTGCCCTCCACAAGGCTTTTCTGGCCTCAAGTGCAATAGGGCGGAGGCTGAGAAACCCTGCTCCAAACTGGGCACGGAGGCGCACGTCTGTAATCCCAGCACTCAGGAGGCTGAGGCAGGAAGATCACGGCGAGCTCAAGGCCAGCCTGGGGTACATAGCAAGACCTTGTTTCAAAAAACAGAGAGAGAGAGAGAGAGACAGAGACAGAGACAGAGACAGAGACACAGAGACAGAGAAGCAGCGCTGCTCCAGACTCGCGGTGTGACCTGGACGGCAGCCACCAGCTCACGTGGCTGTGAGTGTGCGCACTGAGCCCTGTGTGCTTCTAGCTGCGTTATAAGTGTAACACGCTGGGTTTCAAACACTTAGCATGAAACAAGAAAGTAAACGATCTCATTAATAATCTGCATATTCGTTACATATTGGGATATACCGGGCTAAATAAAGTGTATTATGAAAACGAATTGTACCTATTTATTTTAACTTTTAAGAAAATGTGGACTCTCAGAACACTGACAGTGACAGTGGGGCCTGCGTTTGAGTTCCTGGGACAGTGGTGGCCTAGCTGCGTGCCGCCCTGGGCTGGGGAGGACCTCAGGAGCGGGCGGGGGTCTGGATCCTGTGACCATGCGCCCCCCCTACTGGCCTGCGCGTCTCTGTGCAGGGCCAGGAGCAGAGCACAGCCCCCTCTTTGCTCCCCGCCCCCACTGGGCCACCTTGCCAGCCTTCCAGGCAACACCAAAAGTGTCCCGGCAAACAAACAGGCGGGTTTGGTGACAGCTGTGGCTCAGAGACCAGAGCGCCTGGCTCCCAGCTCATTCCCTGGCAGTGCCCAGCTCAGAGCTGGGAGGGAGCTCTCAGAGCCACTGGTGCCAGGACCTCACTCGCCTGCTCTGCTGGGACGCGCAGTGACCACCCGGCCTGAGGTTCACACCCGGAACCGCTGAGGCCCAGGCACAAGCTGAGACTCAGGCCAGGGGCCGAGCTGCAGAGAGAGGTCCTGGGGCTGGACGGGGGTCAGCGACGTGGGCACCTGCTGTGGAGGTGGCAGGGGGGCTAGGCAGGTGGCCAGGACAGCCAGGGCCACAGGGATGGAAGGAACAAAGGTGCTGGGGAGGGTGTGGGTGAGACATGGGTGGGCTTTGCTGGGGGCCTGGGAGAGCAGGTGCTCCAGGAGGCAGAATGCAGAGCGATAAGGCACAGAGAGGCCTGGGAACCGAAGATCACAGGTCCCACCTCCAAGTCCCGGGTGCGGGCACTGAACCCTCCCCCCAGCCACAAGGAACAGGTCAGGTGCTTGTTATAGAGGCTGTGGGTGAAACCCCAGCGTGATCCACCCTTCACCCTGCTGGCCACGCCTTCCCCAGGCCCTGTCCCGACCGCAGTGGGGCTGGGCCGCTGCACCCCTTGTCCTTGGGGTCCTACCCTATCCCTGCTAGTGGACAGAGAGGCAGGAAGGGGACAGGATCCTGGGATCAAGGGTGCTGCGAAGCCCCTCCCCCTGCACCCAGACTCTCAGGCCCTCAGCCCGGGGAAGGTGGTCTCTCTCTGACCCCAAAGTGAAGTCCGGGAAGGCATTCGGGGACACGGAGCTCATGGGCAGTGCCCGGGGACAGACAGCCACCCACAGCCCCGGAGGGTGAAATTGGAACCTTAACCACCCCAGGAGCCAGACTCTGCCCTCGGGCAGCTCCCCGTGGTCTGGTCCGGCCCCAGCCCAGCAAACCTCAGGGGGTTCCCTAGTGGGAAGCAGGGGCTGGGCTGGGGTGGGCCGAGTCAGGAAGGCTGAAGGGAAGTGAACGGGGAGTGGGCGGTGGAGAAGCTGAGGGTGCTGAGGCGCCCTGGGAATGGGGGTGGAGAGGGCCAGAGGGTGGGGAGGCTGGGGGGAAGTGCAGCGTCTTGCAGAGGGGTCGTGAGGGCGGCGTCAGAGTGTCCGGGCGGGGCTGGGGATTTCAGAAAAGCGGGCAGAAGGTTTGGGGCTGCCAGGTTTCTGGGTGAGGTTCCTAGGATTTCTGGGAGCCTCACGTTGAGGGGCTGCAGGGGTTGAAGTCAGGCTGTCCGCGTCCCCGAGTAGGGGGAGCGGGCGGTCTCGGGATTTGTAGCCGAGCGCTGTGGTCGGAGGGGTCTCTGGGTGGACGCGGTGGCCCAGCTCACCTGTAGACATCGGTCCAGAGCTGCGTGCCCAGCACGTACACCGCCTCGACGCGGGTCCCGAACTGCAGCCGCACCGTCCGTTCGCGCAGCATCCTCCCACCAGCAGTGCCCCGCCTGGTACCCGCGCGTCTCGTGCAGGGCCGTCCCAGCACCTGTTGCAGGTGAGCCCTCTGCGGCAGCCTGCGTCCGCCGGGACCCCGCTAGCTGCCTTATCCCGCCGCCGGGGGGCGTGTCGTCCTCCGGGCTCCTCTCCCATTGGGCCCAGTATGGCCCCGCCCGCAGGTCGCCCCACCCCTTTGCTGTGATCCCGTTGAGGTCAGCAAGTAGGCGGTCCTTTCCACGTTTGGCTTGATCTTTCTTTCATTCCCGTCTCCCTCCAGATCCCCCCAGCTTAGTGGGTCAGAAAATGCAAGGTGGAACTGCCAGAGGGACAGAACAGGAGTTGGTGAGAGTGCAGAGGGGGTGCCCTAACCAAATTTGGGGTCCAGGAAGGCTTGTCAGAGGAGAGGACCCCTGAGCTCTTTTATTCCTGTACTGAGGATTGAATTTAGATCCTTTGCACTGAGCTACATGCCCAACCCTTTCAAATTTAAAAATTTTGAGATATGGTCTTGCTGAATGACCAAGATGCCTCGTGCTCAGACAGGGCTACAACTTGTGATCCTCCTGCCTCAGCCTCCTAGAGTGATTGGATTACAGGTATGCACCACCCCACCAGGCTGCCTCAGCCTTCTTGACCGAGGCGTTTGCAGACTCAGGAGGAGGACAGGCAGCCTCCTGACCAAAGCCAGGAAGGAGGACGCAGCCTGGTAGGCCTGCCCTCCCCATCAGATGGACATTGCCATAGGGGAACTGGGCCTTGGGCTTGGAGTGGGGAAGTCAGCAGCTGACAGGGCCGAGCCGAATGCCAGAGTGGGCATGGGTGGGTGGAGGGTGGGAGCCCTGGATGATTCCTGGGGAGAAGGACAATGAGCCATTGGCTGCCTTCCCCGCCCTGGCGAGGAGGCAGGCTGCACAGACCCCGAGGGAAGCGTGAGAGGGCTGCGGAGGAGGGGATTGATCTGACCAGTGTTTATGGGCTGAGATCTGGGTAGCACCTGGTGACTGACGGGCTGTGCCAGTTGAGGGGACAAGGAGAGGGCGGAGATTAGGGCCCTGGGCCTGGGCCAAGCCGCCGGGGGGAGTGCTGCTGTGCAGGTCAGCCCATATTCTGTGGACACAGATGCGCGGGTGACATTCAGTGGGGGAATGAGTCACCCTTCCCCAACCCCCACCCCTTCTGACCCAGGCCCAGTGAGGGAGGGGTCTTTCTCGGTGGGGGACCAGGAGGACGGGTGGGCCAAGCTGTTTGGGAGGGCCTTGGGGGTCCCAGGAAGGGGTGCACCTGAGCAGAGCTGGGCAGGGGTGTGGCTCAGTGGTAGAGTGGTTGCTTAGCATGCACCAGGTCCTGGGTTTGATCCCCATCACTGCCAAAAATAAAGAATAAATTTAAAGTCACGCTACATTCTTAATAAAACTAAAAATCAAGGTGGCCCGACCTAAAGCACACCTAGCCCCTGAGCCCAACCTTCTCCCCAGGGGCTCATACTAGGAGGCACGAGGAGCCTGGCTGCTTCCCAGGGCGGGTGGGGAAGGTGAGCCCAAGTCCAGGCTGCCTCCCCTCCAGCACCACAGGCTGGTGACTTCTGATTGGCTGCTGGTGGCCTTGATGGGTGCATCCTCCAATCAGAGCTGGTTCTGAGGCCCACAGAGGTGGCTCAGGCCCGGGCACCCCCTGTCCCTAGTTCCTTTTGAGGCCTTACTTTGTGTGGCAGATACTGGACACATGCCAGGGTGCTCATTTTTCTGGGGGACATAGAATGCCCCTGGTTCACTTCACTCCTGGGACACTGGGGTCCTGAGGGGGTGCGGTGGGCATCACTGGCCCACACTGAGCCCGGAGGAGGCAGGCTGTGGCGTGATCAGTGCAGTGGTGACATTAGGCAAAGAGTGACTCCCAGTGGAGGAACAGCGGGTGCTCCTGGTTCCCCTCTGTGGGCTGTGCGATTCCAGGCAGCGCTTGTCATGTGGATTAAGATCAGGGTGTTATACCTTGCAGTGACCCCACTCTCTACAGATGAGGACAGAGCACAGAGGGGGTAAAGAAGTCACCTGGGTTGCACAGCTCCTGAGAGCGGCAGAGCAGGGTGGGGACTTGCTGGCCATTGGGCTGGTGGCAGGGGCAAGACAGGGCCTTTCAGCCTTGCTCTTGGGCAGCTGTGGGCAGGCGAACGACCCATCTGTCAGCCTGACGTCAGCATGATGTTAAACGAGATGGCGACATACAGAAATGGAGCCCCTGCTCCTTAAACAGTCCAGCCCCCACAGCCACACACACACACACACACACACACACACACACACACACACACGGCTGTGCTCTGTCTCTGGCTCGCCCTGCTGGGCGCAGAGCCTGGTAGATGGGCCAGCAGTTTCCTGGTGCTCAAGTTTTTAAAATAGCTGAAGTGGTCACAGCTGTTGCTGGATTCAGGGCCGGAGGTCGCACGCATCTCAGCCGATCCCGCTGCCCCCCCCCCAGACGCCTGGCAATCCACAAGGATTGCACGGTACCTTCTGCGGGAAGCCTGCAAAGGGCAGACCTGGCTTGGGCCAGTTCCTGGTGCTGACAGACCCACACCCCCATCAGCTCCCGCCCCTGCCAAGCAGGTGGCCAGAACTCCAGTGCTCCCGGGTTGGGGGTGGGGTCCCCTGTCCTGTCTCCTGCCGTGATCCTTCTGGGGGTGGGGGTCTCTCGGGGCCAGGCCCGGGGGAGCCTGGCTGGAGTGGACACAAACATCAGCGGCCTGCTTTGAGGACACTCACCATGCATGCAAGAGTGGGATAAGAAAGAAATGCACAGCAATGCCTGGTCATTGTGGAAAAACTGATAAAGTTTACGATCACCCTGGACCCGGCCATGAGATCACCGGAAGTCTGAGCCTGCAGGGCCTGCCCCGAGGCGGTGCTTCCTGAGCCTCCGACAGCTTTCCTGTCTTAGCACACAAGAACCCTAGGAGGTGGGTGCTGCTGTCACCCCCGGTTCATGCAGAGGCGTCAAATCGCCCGATGGAGGGGAGTGGGGCCTTTGGACTTGGTAGCCTTGCGCGGGGGTGGTCAGCCTGACTCTTTCACCCTCTAGCTGGGGATTGTCTGTGTCTTTCTCTGCAGGGAGACACGAGCAGAGCCCAGGATTACAGACAACAATGAGATGGTGCTCGGTATTCTGCTCAGCGCATCCCGGCCCGGCGCCCCGCCAAGTCTCACAGATGCACGGAGACTGTCCCTGGAAGCTTGTGCGAAGGGGGCTTCTGACGTTCTCTGCTATTTGATAACATTTCAAAGCCTGTGCAATGTGAGAGGCGGCCGGGCTGCGTGGCCAGGGCACACAGAGCCGGGGAGTCTGTGAAAGGCTTTCGGGCTTTGTCCTAAGGTCGTGGGGAGCCATAGAAGGACTCTGGAATGGGGCGATGGCACGATGTGCGCTTTAGGATGATCGCGCTGGCTGCTGCGGGAGCCGGACGTGGCAGGGATTCTGGCAGGAGATGGAGTGGCCGGGCAGCGGGGCCTGCGCCCTCCGCACCCATGGGGTCCTGCAGGGCTGTCTTCGAGAGCAGCACCCAATGCCACGTCCTGCTTCGCTCCCTCCTGCCCTCCGGTCCCAGCCCCTTGGGTGGCATCTCCGCCCAGCTGTGAAGGAGGGGCACTAATTCTACTTGTACTGCTCAGCTCCCCCTGCAAGGCGTTTCCCCGGAGGGACAGTGGGTGTCCCATCGCTCAGACGTGCTGAGGACTCGGCTCGGCTCGGCCTGGTCCTGCACCTCTGGGAGGATGGGAGCGAGGAGGACTAGAGATGTATTTTAATGCATCGGCTCACGTGACTGTGGGGCCGGAGGTCTAGACATCCGGGTAGAGTGGACATCGCATTCTTTTTTCTTTTTAATTAAGGATTGCAAAACTTCGTACTTTAAAATTGCCTTTATTACAATTAAAAATCTGGAGAAGCCCCTTTCCCATGTAAAGACTTCGTAAATACTGATAGAACGGCAAGTTTTTCGTTTTACAGGGTCGTGTTGGAAATGGTCAAAGATGATCCCCGAGGGCACTTGGCCGACGTCCAAGAAGCAGTGAAGTCTTCAAGCAGCAGGGTTGGTGAGGTCACTGGACGGCCCAGAGCTGAGAGTGTAAATCCCTCCGCGTAGCAGGAAGAAGTCGAATTTTTATGGCTCAACAGGGGACAACTGCTTCAGGGTGACTCCTGGACAGATGCCTAGGTTTCCAATTTCACCTGACAGGGAGCACAGCTGCCTCTACCCTTTGAGTTTATGGCTTAGTCTCGTCTCTTTATCACAATGCTTATTGGAAACCGTTTTTTGTTTGTTTGTTTTTCTTCCGGTACCAGGAATCGAACTCACAACCTTGGGCTTTCCAGGCAGGCGCTTTGCCGCTGAGCTAAATCCCCAGCCCTGGAAACCGTTTTTGAATGTAGCAGGTTGGATGCGGAGAGTAAAATCTAAAAGCACCAAATCATATGGGACTGAGGTCTCAAAGAAAGCACCTCATTGTTGTCCATAAACCCCGATGACACAGAAAGTTAGAAAACACATGAAGTCAGAGAAGTCAGGACGTACAAGCGAGACAGGGCGGCTATGGCCCAGCGTAAGCTCTGGGGGCTGGAGCTGCAGGTTATTCACTGGGGCAATGGATTTGTTAGGAGCCACGTGGTGGTGCAGCTTATCATCAAATCAGTACGCACAAGTCAGCTTAAAAGGCATGAGGAACCCTCCTCACGTGCCGAAGGTCCTCAGCAGATCGCTGCAGACCTCAGCCCAAGGGGTCACTGGAAGCAGGAAAAGAACCTTGCATTTTTGAGTCTGATATCTGCAGGCTGAAAACTCAGGATTTCTGTCTATTGATCTCTTTGTTTTGTTTTGTTTTTTGTCTTTTGCAGTTCAGGCTGGCCTTGAGCTCACTTTGTAGTCCAGGCTGGTCTTGAACTTGCAACAATCCTCCTGCCTCAGCCTCCCAAGTACTGGGATTATAGGCGTGCACCACCATGCCCCGGTGGTTATCTATTGGTTTTGAAGCAGAATTGTTTCTTCTTTGAGAAACTTCAGTCCTTGCTCTTATGACTGTCAACTGATAGGATGAGGCCCACCCACAATTTGGAGGGCAAGCTGCGCTAGTCAGTGTCTACTGATTAAATGTTAATGACACTGACAAAAATCTACATAACTTTATCTAGCTCGGTATTTAACTAAATACCAGGCACCATTCATATCAAGATATACCATAGGTGTGTGTGAAATACATACAGATTTCAGAGTTAGCAGGATAAAAGATCATTTTGTTTATTTTCGCAGTGTTGGGGATGGAACCCTGGACTTTTCTCATGCTAGACAAATGCTTTACCACTGAGCTACGCTCACAGCCCAAGATGGTAATTAAAAAAAAATAGATATTGGTTACATGTTTAAAGAATATCTTGGACATTCTGGGCCAAATAAAACATATCTTAAAATTAGTTTTACCTACTTATTTTAATTTTTAAAAAGACGTGGCTGCTGGGAAATTTAAAGTTGCACATGAGGTGGGCATTTCTGGCTTGCACTGTAGCTCTCTGGGAGAGGCTGGTTCCTCCTTCAGACTTTCTTTCTTTCTTTTTTTTTTTTTTGGTACCAAGAATCAAACTCAGGACCTTGCACTTGCCAGGCAGGTGCTTGTGCTGCTGAGCTATATCCCTGGCCCCCTCTTCAGACTTTCTGCAGGGACCATGACCATCTTGTTTTTGATCATCTCTGCTGGTAGAGCTTGGGGCCTGGGCATAGGAGACAAATACTTGGTGAAGTGAAATTCTCTTGTTCCTGGGGGATTCAGGGCAAGAAGACACTGTAGTGTACTGGAAAAAGAAAATGTATTGCTGCTATCCCCCTTCTTGGTATCTTCCCAAAAGAATTAAAAGCATCATACCACAGCGATGTATGCACACCCACGTTTGTAGCAGCACAGTTTGTAGTAGCCAAATCTTGGAAACAGGCCAGATGTCCATCCACTGATGAATGGATGAAGAAGATGTATGGTTTTTTGTTTTTTGTTTTTCTGTCTTTTTGAGACAGGGTCTTGGGGCTGGGGATTTAGCTCAGCGGCAAAGCGCCTGCCTGGCAAGCGCAAGGTCGTGAGTTCGGTTCCCGGTACCAGAGAAAAACCAAAAAA